GACGCAAGTGAGTGTATACTTCTTTAGATGAAGATAACACAGCATGAGAGAAGGCGTGTACAGTTTTTCTGTGCGTCCATTTTATTTCGAAAGAGTATAGACTCATTCATGTTCAGATAATACTGAAACAAGATTTTAATTTTTTAGAGAAGATGGAATAGAGTCACTCAGATTGAGATAATGCCACTACTGTGTATGAATTTCCATTTAATGTACATAGATACTCCTGTAGATAGAGATACTATTTGCGTTTTGTCTCCGTAAACCTTCCGCCGAGTCAGAACAGCTCCGAATGGAGCGAATCAACATTTTACCAACTCCGAATTTTGTCCATTGTTTGCTTGAATGAGCGACTTTGGCGATCCGCTATATCCGTTTATTTTGTGATTCGGTCAACTGTTTTCCATCTGACCAAAGATTTTTGAATCTTGCGAATCAAACTTTCAAATTCCAACATTTTCACACCGGTAGAGCATTTTGCTTGGAACGACCGTGCGCTTTGCACCATGTCGAGAAAAATAATTCGTGCGAATCCGCTGCTTTCATTTCGACATGTCCCTAGGGCACTGTTCGCTTTTTCAATCCGCTACTTTTGTTGAGACACCCCTGCGTAACTTCGGCTCAGTTTTTGCCGATTTGCCATTGTGTAGAGAGAACAGGAAAATACTCTTAATACCCACTGAGTACGACAAGGCGTAGTGCTCTACTCATTGCTTTTGAATTTGTGCCTGTGTTTTTGTTTCGACCTATAATACTTACGTGGGCACATGCATGAGTATTGAGCACATTTATATGCGCCCTTCAAGGCTCAAGAGGCATATGCAGAGTAACCTTGTGGACACCACACCGACTGGCAATACGCCGTGAGTAAAAGGGCGTGAAACTGTCTTGGGAAGACGCTCTAGCTGATCTATACTAGACGCTAGTGCCCCTCTTCATCCCTTCCCCGTCTCCCTCCCCTTCCCCCTCTCCTCAAGAGGGTCCGCTTGATGGGGGTGGTTTTGTAGGCACCGCGCCCTTCCCTTCCCCCCTCAGCCTCCCTTACATTCCTTCTTCTTCTCCCTCCCTTTCCTTCCCCCCATTCCATTCCTTCTTCTTCCCCCTCCCCCTCTCCCTCTCATCCCTTCTTCTTCCCTTCTTCTTCCCACCTTTCCGCTCCCCTCCCTTTTCCACACCTGCACAACCACACGCTAACATTATAATAACCAAAGTCTCTAGGATGAATGTTTTTCAAAATATTCTTTTACTTTTTTTGATACGTTTCAAATATGATTTGTTGTTGTGATTTTTTCTGGCGTAGTTTTGCAGTTATGATGTTGATACGGTGATACGGTTTTAGATATGATTTTGATATGGTGTCAGTTGTGATTCTTGATGTGGGTCCAAATTGTGCTTTGAAACCAACCCAAAGGAACCATATCCAAAATCCTATCAAAACCAGATCGAAATCGTATCAAAATCATATCAACCGCGTATCGAAACCGTATCAAAACCGTATCAAAATCATATCAAAATCGTATCACAATAATATCAAAATCATATCACAACCACAAAAACGCTCGAAAAATCGACCAAAAACCAGTTGCTGGGTTGTTTCTGTTTTTTTTTGCAGCCAACTCAATAGAACCATATCAAAATCGTATCAAAATCATATCAAATCCTAGACAGGTTGAAGAACCCAGGACCATGTGAGCAACAATGCAGAAGGTATCGGCAGCCTCAGGTGAGAGGGTGATCTTTAGCATCAACGCCGATACAACCAAAATTCACAGACGTGTCAAAGTTCCCGAATCAGACTGGGGAGTGTCTGAAGCACTTCGTCACGGTCCGAGACGGTTTGGTCCGACACGTTTGGGATTGCATCAGCGGCACACTAGTGGAGTCGTTTGATGGGATTGGTTGGCCGTCATGCCCTAAACTTGTTGGGCACCTGCTGGGTCTTCGTGCTCACCTTCGTTGATGATTCACATTAGGCTGCGGGTGGAAGGAATCGTTGGGCTGCTATGCAGAAACATCCCCAACTGCTGAAAAAATACGGAATATACAACCATGTCCAAATTTGACAAACAAACTCCCTTCCGCAACTTTCCAAGCCCCCAGAGCTTCAGTGAAGGCACCACAGTCACAGCTGCATCCCTCTTCTGCAGCTTCGGGCTGAGGAACCCGTTTCCCATCCTCAGAAGGCCAAGGAAGGAAAGAGCCTCAATCTGAATGGCGAGGCCTAAACTACCAAAACACTGCTATGTACAAACATGTGTTCCCAGCAATTCTTTGCCATAAACAGCCAGAAGAGGCTGCATCTACTGCAACCCAATCTAATCCATCATCCAATTCCCAAAAACGATATTTATAGAAACCCACAATCCCCAGAAGGTGAAGCAGAAAATGGCCCACATTTTGGATGGTCAGGTCTCCCTAAACTACCAAAACATTCCTACAAAAATGTGCGTTCCCAATATTTCCCAATTACTATGCTTTGAAAAGGAAAAATGTTGCTGGGAACGATAGTATAGGATGGATAGGGTTAGTGTTGGGATTCCCACTTTTAACACCAGCAATCCAGGAACATGCTACATTTCGAGGTCGTACCCAGCTACAAAAAGAAGATGCCATTGAAAGGGAGGTGGCTTTGGTCCATTACAAAAAACTAGGATTGTTTTAGCGAACCCAACAAGAGCAGTGACCCAGGGAGATCCAGGGGGTAAAAAAATCAGGTTCTTTTTGTAGAGGCTGAATCTGGGTTGGTATTGTTTTTTGTAGAGGTTCAACTGAGGTTGTGAATTTCTTTTTGTAGATCACCCAGGTTGTGAATTTTGGAATGTCCCTACAAATTGTTTTCACGACCTAGACCCTGTCATTTTAACGGGGATCTTTTACGGTTTTACCACTTTTTCCTCCTCACGCTGTAGTACATTGATACTTTACGCATTTATCATTTTACGGTTTTTCCGTCTTCTCCTGTTCACGCTGTCTACGAAAAACGTAAATTTACCAATTTACGGATTTTACTTTGGTTTCCTTCGCTTCCACACGCCTTTCACGAGTTACGCTTTTACAATTTGTCTCCGTTGGGTCTCACAATACATCTTGTGATGCGGAGATTGTCACTTCGACGACAGTTTGCTCACATGTTTGATGACCTTCCGGGATGGCAAAAAAGGTGACCTCTGACCGCGGCGATGAGTGCATTGTTTGAATAGTTTCTCGACTTGAACAAAAACCCTATGACCATGGGAACCAAAGCATGGAAACAGCTTTTGCTGATCTCAAGATGGAAACATCAAGTGAGAGTTGGTAATGAGGACATGGCTGAGTATCATTCCAAACGCTGCGCATTATACAAGGGTTTGAAGTTGGCAGCAAAACACCGGACAGACAGGTGGGAGACAGCATAGGTAGGAAACTAGCTGCGAATCGAAAGGATAAAGGTTTTTAGAGGATTTTTTTTTTACAGATTCTCATAATGTAGATAGATGATTCACTCCTCCAGGTTGCTAAGGCCGTATTGCGCATTCAGAGTTTGTGCAGTCATGTTGACTGCTATCAGCCAAGCCTGAAAGACTTGATGTTGAAACCAAATTTATAGATCACATATGTATTTGCATGCGTACAAACCGCAGCATCAACTTTGCAGAGATGTCGTCCGATCTGGCAAGGCTCAAGTCAGCGTCCTGTGCTGAGAGATTTTTTCTGTCCGTTTCTGTTTGTGCGATTCGGTGCTCCAGCTGTTCTCGTTACCTTCGGTCCGAGGTCGGCCTTGCGCGACTGGGAGGAAGGTCGTGCAAAGGACTGGCGACAGTGAAGTGAAGCAAATGATTTAAATGTTCTTCAACAAAAACATTCGGGTAGGAAAAACTGTTGTCCTTTCTTGGCAAGAATCCGTGCAGAACTTCTCTGCTTGGCATAACGCTGCACACCGGCTGCTGGACAATCTGCAAGCCGCTGTTCAGATAGGCCATGCGGAGATAGATACATTTGGCCGATGGGTAAAAATTGCAAGCCCTACCCTGAAGATGTTAGAGTCCAAATGTGTGGGCAGCAAAGACACAGATGGAAACTTTGTTGTACGCATTTTGCAGCATAGTAATTTTTTTTACTTTGTGTCCATTTTTTGCATTTTCTCCGGTCTCCTGTCAAATCTCCAATGTGCAGGTGCATCTCAACATGCGCAGCTGCAGCTCTTGCTTTTGCAGCGCAGTGCCGCTGACAAAGCCTATGCCCAGGCAGGACGACACTGCCAGTGAAACCACCCAAGCTGTGATGCACAATGCAGGCCCTGGTGCGTCTTCCAGATCAGGACACAAAGACAGTGCGAAGCTACTTTGTTGATGGTTTGATGGGAATTCAGACCTTCAAACTTCCCCAAATTTCTTGTTGAGCAAACTTTCTCATTTCTTATTCTGAATCTTCCGTTGGATCTTTGAATTATATCATTTCAAGCCGTAACGGGCTGTAACGGAGGGTTGCACTATTGCTTTTCAGCTCCACACAGATTGCACAGTCAAGGATGGAGAAACCATATCCGAAAGGCAAGGTCCGATGTTCTGTTGATTGTGCAATGGTTGAATGTCAATGTATACGCAAAAACGCAAAGTGGACAAGGGTAAGCAGATAGATATGCAATGATGGACCTTCCACGAAATCGAGGGCAGCGACAGGTCCACTGATCGCTTCACTCCGGCAGAAGTGTCTCTCTTGCTTGCTCTCCTCCGCAACGCTTTCATCTCAAGGAAATCATGGAAATTCTTTTGTTTATGGCAGTTGAAGTAAGAGATCTTTTTCATTCTTTTTCATGAACTCTTGAGTGTATTCTTTGGTATATGACTCTGTGAGCGTGTAGCAAAAGAAGACAACCTCGCAGCATAGAGATCCTTGCAGATTCGCTGGAAGTCTCTCGGTGGTCGCCAAACATTGTTGATTCCATGAAAAACCGCACAGTAGGTCAGGAACATAGCAAATGCTCATCCAACGTTCCTAGCCTCGTGCTGCAGTCCATAGCCATGAGTTTGGGTTGGCTGACAGAAAGTTCCTTAATCCCAAAGGAGCTGGGCTCTGAGCGGTTTGGAACGGTTTCGATTTTTTGCAGATGTCACTGATGTCACCTGCTATCTTAGCGCTGCAAAAAAGAGACGTCGTGGCTGAGCAGTGAAGAATTTGAGGCCCAAAGAGATTGGCGGTGTCAGCACTTCGTCTCTGCAAGGAGCTCAGGATGCTGTGTATCACAGGGCCTGATTGTTCTGGCCATTTCCTACTCGCCTAGCGTTCAAAGTTTGAACCCCGGCTCCAAAATTTGGTGCTTCCATAGAGACATCATTCCAATGCTAGCAATCTGCAAGGGGTGCAGCTTGCCTTCCAGATCATCCAACTGTGTGTCAACTCAAGTCTATGTCTATGTCACTCTCTTTGCACTGTCCGCTGTCAATACAGTCCAATTAGAACATGTCCAACCCAAACCGAATTAGAATAATAGGAGTAGAATCCTTTTTCAAGTAGTTGCAGGTGAATTTGCGTTGCCCCAACTAAAGTTCGCTGACGTGACTCTTTTTACTGGAAGTAAGGCTCAACTTGCAAGCCGTCGTCTACGACCGTGAGCAGCGTGGAAACGTGCCTTCTGTCCTGTCCTGAAAGTTGTTGAATGCCTTGCACTGGCAGAAGCTTGAGGTTCATAGCTTCAACCAGAACGGTGGAGCACTGCACAACTTTTGCGTTGAATATGGCTCTAATCTGTTCAGGCAAAACGGCGGAAGGCCGTGGCCAGGAATCCTAGACTTGGCCCTCGCAGTGTCTTCCAAGGCTTTCGTGAAGACTTTGTCCTAGAAACTCACGAGAAGTTTTGGATCTTTCGATTTTGCTGAAGTGTTCTCCCTCTTCCAAGTCTCCTCAGGCCGAAGCAAAGGCTCGAAATGATGGTGCAAGGAACTCAGCCCCATACTTCTGAGAAAATCAACAATCTGCTGGCCCTTCCGTAATTTCTAGGCCGCCACTTTTGACACACATTGAGTTTTGGTTCCATTTCCTGCACCATGTCGCCATGTCCAAGGTGGACGCACGCAATGCTCGGGATGAGCAGCAGCAGGACGCAAAAGAAAGGTCACACACCAAGTGTCATGGAGAAACGAAACGGACACCGTCGTTGTCGGAACACAGCACTGCTATTGCTGCCATAGGCCTGACCTAGTACGGACACGACTGGAGGAGAAAGCCAAGAGGCCCGTGGCGAAATATTTGACAAGGGTACACCCACATCATAGTATATCATACATCCAAACTAGATCCAAAATGATCGGCAATGATCTACATATATACGCGCGTACATGTACATGTATGTATGTATATACGTCTATAATATATATATATATAGATACATATATAATATATACATAGAAATAAACACGCTCACAGGTGTGGGATACGGATTGACATCCCAGGTCAAAATTTGTACTTGCCTCCGGAAATAGATATGTGTACCATGGCCCATGGGCCAATGGCGATTTCAATAAGCCTTTCAGTCTGAGGTACGATGCCCTTGCTTCCGGTGCAGCGGGAACAGACAAGGCGCGAAGGGAACATATAGCTTCGCAGTGTCAGGCCAGGCCAGAAGGATTTACACAGGTGCAAAAAATACAAATTTACACAGGTGAACTTTACATTTTGTAAGAAATGATGCTCTGCTAATGTCAGGTGCAAAAAATGGTTTCGTTTTGCCTTTGACACTGCATTTTGAGCATTTTAGTATATTTCTTGGCCCTGGTGTGCAACCAAAGGGTGCTTGGATCGACATTTGTAGGGCCTTTCCTGTCCGACTACGCAGGATGAGCCTCTTGTCGACTTCGACAGAAAGCGAGCACAGGGGCTGCTGCCACCAGCCAAGGCACGTTTCATTCCTCGATTGTTCGCAAAGCGTCATGTACTTTTGCATGCTTTCATGCAAACGCAAGCTGCAGATAGTTCATTGCTGTGCACTTTCTTGCTAAGTGTCAAGTACAGGTATTATTCGGTGTCATGGCAATTTTCACAGTCCATTCACATACTTACAGTTTGTGATTTTCACAATCAGATCGATTCGACATAGCGGACCAGAAAGGGGCTGTCGGGCCGCTGTCGGGCACTTCGCTGCTCTGATTTTTTTTGCTTAGGAATTGGAGAACTCAACACCAGCGCAGGAGAATCATGAAGTCTGCTCGAGTGCAACTGAGTGCACAGAACAGACCAACAGACACAAGTCCAGCTCTATCTGACTCTATCTCTCTGCTTGTTTCCCTAGGACACGAATGCTGGATCTACTGTTTGGGCTGCAAGATTCACAGTCTTTGAAACACAGAGTTTCAGCATGTTTCAGCTGTCAGTTTGATTCTGTTTTTGATTATTTGTGACCAAGACGCTTTCGGCTCAGTGACTCAGTGGCAAGATTCATGGTTCATGGCATTTTAATATATTCGAATATAGATAAAGCAGAGTGCCTATTAAATGCCGTACCTTATTGGATTTCAAATCGTTTAGATTCTGGGGTCGCAGACAGCTGGACAAGGGGAAACAGCCTATTCCAAAGCGACGCGCTGGATGCAAATAATAAACCATCGAAAACACATCGCTCACAAGTGCAGATATCACAGTTTTTATGCAAAGTGAATGCGATGAAGGGAACTTGGCCAGATCGAAGCAAGAACAAGGATTGGGTCAACAAGGGCTCTAAACCGATTTTCGGCATAGGCCTTTGTCCTTGACTCTGTGAACAAAAAAATGTTGGAGTGAAGCGAACTTTAGAAAATGAGTGAGAACCATCTCAGTTTTCTTTGGCAAGTGGATTGACCAAAAATGCCCTGTGGTTCATTCGCTGGTGCGTCATTAGCACACGTTTCCAGTTGCCCAATGCACACTTCTCAATTATACTTGAAAGTTCCAAAGCGATTAAAGCCGAAAACGCTAAGAGGCAGTGGAAACACGGACAAAAAAAATATGTCCGCAGTTTGAGATGGCCAAGGGATTTTCCTTGAATTCAATGAATTTTGGTGCAGGAACCAGCAATCCCAACTGCGAAGCAAACTGCTGGTCCTCTGTGGGCATCGCCCAAGAAGCCAATCCCTGTCCAGACAGAGTTCAGGCATCGCGGTTTGAGATTTGATGATGTCTGAGACCCAAATTCCGAAATTTTGTATATTGCACTTATATTGCCTTGTGCTGTTGATGCATCTTTGTAGTGACTAGCATAGTCCTTGTGTGGTTTGGATAAACGGAGATTTGCTTTCCAAACAAGTTTCATAGACGAAAAAGGTAAGACATGTCATGATGATGTTTGGATGCTAACAACCGCCATGGAGGACCCATTTCGGACACTGGCAGCATGGAAAGCTGGGAACCTCGGTTACCGGTCCGGCTGCCACGGTGGGCCACCGTGGTTCCCACGGCTTCGTTGTGTCGCTGCCCGAGGTGCCTCCGCTTCCAACCCAGCCGCTTTGTTGGGCCCTGGGAGCGTGCCAATGACATGCGTCCAGCTCCTTGCAACACAAGATCTGCTGGGGATTGTGGTTTCCTAAATTCATTGGGGTACCCCAGATCCAAGATTAGATCATGACTTAGTATTGAAAGCCATGGTGACTTGGGGATTCCCATTTTAGGAAACCATCATATGTCAACATATAAACATATGCTGTTGATCAAGCTATGCCTGTTAAAGGCCAGGAGTAGCAAGGATAGCGGGTTTGCTTTGATATAGGAAGATAGTCTTTGGCACATTTGCGAGCTCCTTGACGCTGAATAAAACTTGTCATGTACGCACTCTTCGTCTGTTTTGAAGACAGGAAACAGAACCATACCTCCTCTAGCTGCTTTCGTCCCACAGGCCAGACCAAATGGGTTGTATTCAGGCTTTCTCCATGTTTCAAGAGTCATTGGAGGCATTGGGATGGATTTTCTGTGAAGCCTAGCAACTCCTAGCATCTAGCCTCAATTCCTATACTGTCTCACAGGTCCTGCCTTTGCGCATTTTCGTACTAAGGTTACAGCAGACTATGGTTTGCTCTCCCGAAGCGGCAGTGCAGTAGCTACTGCAATCCATGGGACTGGATGGCAGCAGCAGGTGGATTCAAAAAACTTTGCAGTGCTTTTCGCTATCTTGGCCTTTTTGATGTCCCAACCGTGATTTACTTGTGGAGGGACTTAAGAGCTCGGACTCGACGTTCTCATCTCGACGGCCTTCCAATGGCAGCCAGGGACCCAGACAGGTCACACTTTTCACGCTGAGGACTGTGACTAGGACTATGATGGCAGCAAGAAAAGACTTTATTTCCCAATTTAGGAACATTCATCCTCAGAGGAGCCAGAGAGCCAGCATTGCACGTCTTCAGTTTGCAGCTTCCACTAGAGGTCTGTTTTCTGATCGCGGATCTGAGGAGGACAGAGAGTGATTTGTGGAGCCTGTCATGATTTATGATGGCATATGATGGCATAGCTGGCATAGCTACAGGATGATGTTTTGGATCCTGCGGCGATGTACTGCACCAGCAGCGAACACTATGGGAAAGGCAGCCTTCCATCCTGGGTTAACGATAAGAAGTGTGCCAAGCCAATGTCGCCTGAGGCGTCATTTGCAACTTGGTTTAGTTGTGCAACTGATGTTGGGTAAAAATGAGGGAGTTTAGGATAGCCCTTCTAGGGGCATGGAGGAGGGAGCCTGCAGGGAAGCACAGGTCTGAAAGACTCTGTAAGGGGAGAAGTTGAAAAATCAAAGACTTACATACCACGCACATTCACGTACACATTCTCAATTTGGATATCCTTGAAACAACCATTTGGCACCTACATCGTGTTGAGTGCTACACTGATCTTTAGTGGGATTTTCCTCAGCAGATGCTGAGGCAAGTAGCATGATCAAATGTGGCATTCCCTTCGATGCTTCCATCCGCTTCAACAAAGCTGGCGACCTGAGCGACGTCCGCTGAAGCGGTGAATCGGTCGCACCCAAGGTGCGTCATTCCCCGTTGAACGGCAACTTGTGGGGGGGGGACGAAAAGAATAAGTGGACCTGCGACCAATGATTGAACAGAGCGGGCTCAGTTTGTCTTCGAGAGTCACCTCCGGAAGAGATCAAAGCTTTAAGCTGCCACAAATTGGATTCTGTCATCCTGCATATATACTGTAGAAAATCATTGCTCAAGAGGGATTATGCTTGTTTGTTTTTTAAATGATGGAATTCAGTGGTGCTGCGTTTGAGTCCTTGTCTAGCCTCAGGTTTGAAAGAGGAACTGTTGAACAGGACTCTTATCTTAGCTAATTCTAGATCCCGAATCTTGCAGGCCACTGGTTGGAAACTCGCTACCCTTTTGGGACGTTTTTGTTTTTAGTACTGAGTGCTCAGGAGCAGACAAAGTTTCCTGCTCCGGGCGTGTCTCTATTTTTTTGCCCAGTGCGTGAGCATTTCTTATCCGGCTTGGCTCGGCCCACTTCGAATCTTGAGACATGCCAAAATGCGAGGGGGAGCGAGCGTTTGCATATGTTTGCAGCAACATTCCACAGGGAAATCAGGCAAACATTTGATAAAATCATGGAAAATCCATATGTTTTTGCCATCCTGGAATTTTGGCGGTTGGCAAGGGTTGGATTCCAAGGAATTTCCACCACCTCCATGCTTGAGCAAGCCTGAGATCCTGCCGCTGCCCAAATCAAGACTTTATCGCAGCATGTCATGGAATTCTGTAGTGATTCTGCACCAAAAATTGAACATTGAGCAGCACTCATGAATAATTGAGCAAACTTCACAGAGCAAAAGAGTTCTGTGACCAAAAATCGTAGGTGTATCTGAAAATGGGGCATAGCCCCAAATGTCAGTTTTCATGGGAACATGATGAGTAACCGGTGCAGTTTGGGGTACCCTACTTTCAGACCAACCTATAAGCCTATAACACCATAATTGACCATTATATATATATATAAATAAATAATTAATTATAATTACAAAATAATTAATTATAATTACATGTTTTTCAGTTCTGGAACCAATCTCACAGCCATACTGAGGCCTCGTGTGCCCATGCAGCCCTTTGAAAAGCCGCAGCTCTACAGCAGTTTTATTCACCATCCCGCCAGGGAGGTTCCCTAAGATGGGGCTCCCCCAATAGCTGGATGGTTTATGTTGGGAAACCCATTGAAATGGATGATTTGGGGGTACCCCCATTCATGGAAACTCTCAACTAGGAGAATCATAGAAAGTTGGAAAACTGTATGCCAGAAGTTGCATCGTCTCCGAATTGTCTCCATGCTCTCAAGGCGCAGTACAGCAGAGGACCAACCACGGGGACGCTATGGGGCTGGCAGCTGGGAGACTTGTGGCATTGTGGGGCCTTTAGTCTCTTTGATCTCTTTGCTACGAAGCACATCGAAGCACATCGAAGCACCATTCGTTTCACCATTCGCTTCAAGATCTTCAAGTCCGCCAGCAGATCTTGCAGGATTTGGACCTCCGCGAGCGGCTAACTGCAGAGACGGACCTGGCCAGAGACACCCTTGGAAACAAGAAGCGTGCAGCGAGGGAGGCCTAGTGACCTAGTGCTGTCTCACATGTTTGTGTCTGAAAAAGGATATATCGGATATACCCAATTGGCCGTATTTGTATATACAATATATATATATATACAATATATACAATATCACGTATGTATGGAATGGAATGGAAAGGAATGGAAAGGAATAGAATGGAATGGTATGGTATGGGATGGTATGGTATGGAATGGTATGGTATGTGTGTGTATATGTAATACATATATATCATACATATATATAATACGCATAATTATATATATATATGTGTGTATATATATATATTATTATATATATCTATACATACACAGATATGCAAAATATGATGTGTTTCTCATGCATCATCAGGAGTGGCCATGTGCCAGGCCGTTCGCGGTCGCCTGGCTGCCTTGCGGGCTGCCCGTGAGGCCAGTGAGGCCTCAGGCACCGAGGTGGGCTGAGTTTTCGCTTGGTTTTCCCCAATGTTTGGGAATGTTTGGGATATTTTAAGGGAATCTTATGCAATTTTTGTTTGTTTAAACATGTTGGCTGTTTAAACCAATTCTGGGAATGTGATCTTTTTCCCGAGAGCGTCTGAGCGCAGGGTTCTTCCAATAGTGGAGGTCTGTATCTCATCTTCTCATCTTCACACCTTCTCATCTTCACATCTTCTCTCCCACCTTCTCATCTTCACATCTTCTCTCACACCTTCTCATCTTCACATCTTCTCTCACACCTTCTCATCTTCACATCTTCTCTCACACCTTCTCATCTTCACATCTTCTCTCACACCTTCTCATCTTCACACCTTCTCTCACACCTTCTCATCTTCACATCTTCTCTCTCTCTCACTCTCTCTCCTTTCTCTCTCTCCTTTCTCTCTCCTTTTTCTCTCTCTCGCCTTCTTTATCTTTCTCTCTTTAGGCCGAGGGTGGTACCGGCGGTGAGTCACCAAACGTCAACCCTTTCGCACGAAATGAGGGTCGATCGGCAAAAACTGAGGTAAAATTGCGATTTGACTTGCCCTGGAGCAACCCTTTCGCACGAAATGAGAGTCGATCGGCAAAAACTGAGGTAAAATTGCGATTTGACTTGTGCCGGAGCAACCCTTTCGCACAAAATGAGGGTCGATCGGCAAAAACTGAGGTAAAATTGCGATTTGACTTGCCCCGGAGCAACCCTTTCGCACAAAATGAGGGTCGATCGTCAAAAACTGAAGAAAAATTGCGATTTTACCTGTGCCGGAGCAACCCTTTCGCACGAAATGAGGGTCGATCGGCAAAAACTGAGGTAAAATTGCGATTTTACCTGTGCCGGAGCAACCCTTTCGCACGAAATGAGGGTCGATCGGCAAAAACTGAGGTAAAATTGCGATTTTACCTGTGCCGGAGCAACCCTTTCGCACGAAATGATGGTCGATCGGCAAAACCTGAGGTAAAATTGCGATTTTACCTGTGCCGGAGCAACCCTTTCGCACGAAATGAGGGTCGATCGGCAAAAACGGAGGTAAAATTGCGATTTTTCGTGTGCTGGAGTAACTTTCTCGCACGCAAAGAGGTTTATGTGTACGAGCGTTTCTGTGTAGAGATGTTTGTGTGTAATTAAAAGTGTTTGTGTGTACAAGTGCATCTGTGTAAAAGTGTTGTGTGTAAAACCTTCTGTGTGTAAAAGTCTTTGTGTGTAAACGGGTTTGTGTGTACGAGTGTTTCAGTGTAAAGATGTTGGTGTGTATAAGTGATTGTATGTAAAATTCCATCTGTTTAAACGTGATTGTGTGTAAAAGCTTCTGTGTGTAAAACGTGTTTGTGTGTAAACGTGTTTGTGTGTTGGAGTGTCTCGGTGTAAAGATGTTTGTGTGTCAAAGTGTTTGTGTGTACAAGTGCATCTGAGTAAAAGCAATTGTGTGTCAAAGCTTTTCTGTGTAAAAGTGTCTCTTTGTAAAAGGGTTTGTGTGTAAGAGTGTTTCTGTGTAAAGATGTTTGTGCGTAAAAGTGTTTCCGTGTAGAAGTGCATATCATCGAGTCCTAATTAAGACCCTTAGGCCTTAGCTTCAGACTTTGATACTGCGTATGTAATTATGGCCTGCTCCTATAATTGTTTGAGGGAATAGGATGGTTCCCCCACCCTGGCTGGGGGCCAGGTCTTTTCTTTGCCTGACTCAACGCCGTCGTGACAATTGAATTTGAAAATGAAGTGCATCAGCATGAGTCAACCAGAACTGTCTGAGACTTGCTGATGCACGCATCTTTGCTTGAGACGTTCAGTTTCACCATAGTGCATCCTGTCTCACCATAGTGCATCGGCGTGAGTCAAGCAGAACGGTCTGAGACTCCATAGAAGAGCAATAAAGCTGCCGATTCCTTTTGCGCATATAGTTGTGCCGGGACATCGCTGAATGTGATCTGTCACAGTCATTAGTCATAGTTCTTGAATGCTTTGCGGGTCCGCATTGTTGGTCTGTGCAGCTAGGTTTGCATGGAGTCAGGGCCCCGGGATGGGATGGATTACATGGATAGGCAGGCTGCTACCACAAAGAGACAAATCGATATATTTTATATTGAGATAGAGATAGAGATATGATATAAAGATGGATGTATGACTGTTAATATCTAGAGATGGATGTATGAGTGTTAAGATAAGAGTTTCCATTCCAGTCACAGTCAGGAGTCAGGACCCTAAACCCAAAAAGAACCAACTTATATCATATTGTAATACTGTGTGTGTCCCAGCCCAGAAACGGTCGCCGCCTGCCAGGTCCGCCCGTTTATACTTCTTTTTGGGGAGATGGCAAACCACCTTGGTTGGGGGGCCCCAAAGCACATAGCCCTCATGACATGTTCATGGATGCTGGTTTCGAGTCACATGGAAATAGGACTTCGCCGCGCCACCCCGTCGGATTGCTGAGGTGGCCACGACAACGATGACTTCGCTGTGCGTACATGGGCCGGCCTGTGTGTAAAAGCGTCTGTGTGTACAAGTGATTGTGTGTAAAAGCGCTTGTGTGTAAAACCGTCTGTGTGTAAAAGCGTCTGTGTGTAAAAGTGTTTCTGCGTAAAAGTCTTTGTATGTAAAACCGTCTGTGTGTAAAAGTGTCTGTGTGTAAAGGCTTCTGTGTGTAAAAGCGTCTGCGCGTAAAAGCGTCTGTGTGTAAAAGTGTTTGTGTAAAAGTGTTTGTGTGTACAAGTGCCTGTGTGTAAAAATGTGTAAAAGCTTCTGTGTGTACAAGCGTTTGTATGTAAAAGCAGCTCCTGTGTGTAAAGGCTTCTGTGTGTAAAAGTGTCTGTGTAGAAGCGTCTGTGTGTAAAAGCTTCTGTATGTAAAAGCTTCTGTGTGTAAAAGCTTCTGTATGTAAAAGCTTCTGTGTGTAAAAGCTTCTGTGGGTAAAAGCTTTGTGTGTAAAAGCGTCTGTGTAAAAGCGTCTGTGTGTAAAAGTGTTTGCGATGCAAACTATTGTCTTGCACTTCTCACTATTTTGTCTTGATACTCCTCTTCTCGACTGCCTATAACACAGCTTTCATATATCGTTTCTAATATTGCGTCTCCATACTAACAAGAGAAGACCCTGCTCCTCTACGCTCTCGGGCCATCCGTCGTCTAGTTTCTTACTTCTTAAATATGATTCTGAATGGATTTTGGATTCAACTTTGTAGCTTGAAATCAGATGGTTTTTAAATGTTTTTGATGTCTCCTCTCCACACAAGTTGCGTTCTTCTCGCAGAAGACAGCCAAACATGTCCCTCGTCAGGCAACAAGCATCTGAGCCCTGGTGCAGCCCTCCGGCTCAGAGAGCTGTTCGGCTGGAATGTTGACGTGATGCGTTCAGAGTCACATCTGGCCACCGCGAAGCAAAATCTGGTGCTGTTCGCACTCTGGCAATGCACTGGGGTACCAGTGTGCTCAGTGTTGAAACAAAATCTCAGATTGACATTGATGTCAGCTAGATGTCAGTTCCATTAAATCTCAAATCCAAACATGTGATCGGGCAGTGATCTGTGTGATCCGGCCAGTCCGCTGCTTTCAGCAGTCTTTGGGCTACAACGCTGGGAATCCTAAAGACACAATGTGGGGGTTTCCCAAGATGGAGGTACCCCCAAATCATTCAAGCCATTAGATCATGACTTAATATTGAAACCTATGGTGACTTGGGGATCCTCCATTTTAAGAAACCCTCATATGGCAACGGAGTATTGATTTCCATTGCCTTTGTGGAAGATTTTTCCGGAGCTTGAGGCTCAATGGCGCAGCTTCGGGAAGCATTCGCAGTGTCGGTGCTGGAGGGATCCTTACTCTCAGCGTAGGGCTACCCATCGTGGGATGGGAAGTTCTGCCGAAATGTCTTTCCGTTACCTGAGCGTTTGCTTATCAATTTGACAACTTGTTTGCAAAGTGGAGAAGGTATGAGAAGGTTACATTTTGTAGATTGTTAATGGTGCACACTTTTTGCCATGTGTGCTGACTTAACAGTTCAAATAAATTTGTGATGGTGATGCATTATGTACACAAATACTAGCAGAAAACCACCTTTTTGGATTATTCGTTTGTTATTAGTAAAACAATGTAAAATATACTTAACTCTATTTATCTTTATCAAAACACCAAGGGTGCAAATGCGCAAAGCGGAGAGAAGAACGACTTACACCTCTTCAGAATGCTCGTTTGCAAGAGGTGTGCATTCTCCAGACTGATTAAGCACTTTTGGCGATGGATGGCTTTATCTGTCCATCTCTCCTTTCATAAAGTCCCATCAATACAATAATACTAATAATAATAATATACTGTACCTTTTGTTCTCCATGTAAGTATGACAAACGAATAGATTTTCCAAAGATTGAACCAATTAATTTTTACAATGCAATTCATTGCACTTTCAGACTTCTGATTGATCGACCCTTGGGTGTGGCAACGCACATGTGCAGTCAAGGCTTGCCAGCACTCGTGCAGAATTTGAGCAGACTGCAACAGCCTTGCTCACAAAGCTGGAGAAGGGCCTCCAAAGTGCACAAGAGGCGCAGACTGCAACATCCTGAAGCAAAGGCTGTACAGCAAGGGGTCGTTCAAGGAGGTGTTGAGAAGGAACTGTTCAGCGTTGCCTCACCACGCTTTTAAATAGTCAATAAGTCTTGCATGCTGCCATTTCCCTCAATAAATCTCCTTTTTCCCAATCTCTTCACATCCAAATCCGGCGAGGCCAATCAAAGAGTTCAAGAAGCCATGGGCAACTATCGCCGTTCCTCCATCCAGGTCTTGTGGCATCAGATTTAATCAGTGGCAAAAATGCGTGGTTCCGTTCAGTGGTGCCATCCATGTCGGAAATCGAAGCCAAATATCATGCTTAACTGCTGGTTAAGAAAGTTGAAGTAGCATTTCCTGGCTGCAAACTGTTTAGCCCAGTGGTTTGACCACTTTTGGCCAGCCGTGAATCCTCCATTTCCAGGACCCCAAGGATCCAAGTCGATCATCTGGATGGTTTAGCCATGAGCACAAGGATCATCCTGATGGCTGGTTGCAAGAGCACCGGTGCCCTGGGGGTCTGGGGGTTGGAGACGGTGAATAGCTGGTGGAAAGCTGGTTTTCCCTTGGCGATGTGGCTTGACCTGTTCGACCATAGCTCAGAGTGAATGGAGCGACAAGCGACAAAGCAATCAAGGGAAGGATGCGCCTTTACTGTTTTCCCCCATTACCGCAGTCCGATTTGTTGGATCAAAGTCAGATTTGCCCCATCCTGCTCCATTCCCAACAAAACACTCAAGAAACTCTGACCCCAAACCATGAAGCAAAAGCATGAAAAACAGATTCTGCTGCTTGACTTGTCATTTTTGCGGAGTCAATCCTCGTCCCATGGATGCACCAGTGGTGGTAGTGGGCTTGGGCGGTGTTGGTAGCCACTGTGCTCATGCCTTACTGCGAGCAGCAACTGGTGCTGGTGCAACTGCGCTACGACACCTTCGCTTGGTGGATTTTGATCGCGTCTCGCTCTCCTCATTAAACCGCCATGCAGTGGCACTGCGACGTGACGTGCCTAGGTCGAGTGAAACACTGATTTTAAGTGGAGATGAGTGAAGACCACTGATGTAGCAGATTTCTGTCACAAAGCGCATCTCTGTGAGACTTTCGCGTGTGGATTTGGGTTTCGCTGAAGCTAGGCTACCCCATTTCCAATGGATTATCATCATTTTCAAGTCATTTTCCCATCTTTTCCCTCTTAAAAAGGCCATTGTAAGTGGGTCCCATTTTCCCCCCTGTCTTTCACCAAGGTGGGCGTCCCAAAGGTCGCCTGTTGCGCCGAGCATTTCCGGGCCATTTCCCCGCAGCTGGTGGTGGATGCCCGCGATGCCATGTTCACCGCCGAGGCCGCCGAGGAGCTGTTGCTCTTGGGCGCCACGGGGCAGCTGGAACGACCCAAGCTGGTGGTGGACTGACGCTTGGAGGCATATCACAGCAGATGGTCATACGACATATATATATATATATTAATGAATTATTAATATCATTGTTATTAGATTATTATTATTATTATTATTATTAATATTTTTATTATATGTATATATATGTATGTTATTACTGTATATATTATTAAATATTAGATATTATATATAATAATAAATAATAATGACAATAATAATGATAACAAAAACAATAACAATAACAATAACAATAACAATAATAATAAATATATAATATGATATATAAATGTATATAATATAATTTAAGATAATATAATATAATATAACATAATATAATATAATATAATATATATATATATATATATATATACATAAATAACAATAATAATCAAACAATAATTATTATAATTATTAACAATAATAAGAATAAAAATCATCAATATATATATAATTATAATAAATATTGTTACATATTTAGCCACTAATAATTCTAACAATCCCTTATTCCGAAAAGTACTCCTAAGTTGGAGATTTTGGTGGCTATTGGGCGATAAGTGGATCTAAACATTTTTGATCCCAATAATCGAGGATACTCAGGATGAATATACGTATATATATATATATACATACACATACATGTCTAAGTCTTTTGCAGGGTTCTGATGACTTCACCCTCTGTTTGTTTCGTCCCTAGACGAGCAGCGAGGCATAGATGACCTCAATACGAAGGCGGATCTCTTGGCGTTTTGCACTGAGCACAGCTTGCCAGTGGTCAGTGCACTGGGCAGTGGTGCAAAAGATGATCCCACGAAGATGTGTATCGCACAAGGACTTCGCGACATAGACAATGACCCATTGGCAACGAAGCTAAGGAGAACCAAACTGGGGGATATGGACTGGAGCCAAATCTCGTTCGTTTACTGTTCCCAAAAGGTTCAGAGAGCTTTGCTACCGCTCAGTGACGAGCAGCGGAACAAACCAGATGAGTTTGGCAGTGTTGCAAACTTTCGCTTGCGAGTCATTCCAGTTCTTGGAACACAACCTGCGGCTGCTGGAATGGCCATTGCAGCTCAAGTGTTGAATCGCATGGACAATTTGGAGGATTTCTGGCCACAGCCCACACCTGCCCCGCGCCGCAACCTGATTGATAAACTCTTGGACAGTTTCAAGCGAAATGAGTTGAAAAACTCCGGGGGTCGCACTTGCCTGGTGGATGTGACGCCGGCAGAAGCAAGTTTCATGGTGCATGAAGTGTGGTTTGGACGCAGCGCCTTAAATCCCGAGCTCGATGCCTTTGCAGCCACTGGCATTCGATTCACCCTAACTCGGTGGGATGTTCGTCAACCAGCAACCGCAGAGAACATCATTTTGGCCACAGTTGCAGAGGCAGAGAAGCATCAGAGGCCAGAAGATGTAGATCCTGTGGTTCGAAAGCGCATCGAGGCCTCCTTGCTTTGGGCCAAACGTTGCTTGCTTCGCCCATTGCAACTGGCAGAACTGGCAGCAGCACCAATGTCTCTGGCTTCAAATGGCGAGTGTGAGGCTGTCAGCAGATCAGTTGCGCTCCCACCGCGACCGCGCAGAGCGTGGGATGATGAGGAAGCGGCGCTTGTTGCAGAGCAACTCTCACGAAGTTCATCTTTCTTGGGTGCTGGACATGAGAAGGTGCAGAAATCCTCCATTGTTATTGTTGGACTAGGTGCCGTTGGAAGTTCTGCAGCCATCTTGCTGGCGAGAGCTGGGGTTGGAAGGTTGCGATTGGTGGATGGAGCTGTTGTGCATTCTACTGCTCATGCACTGGCCAAGGCGGCAGACCTTGGCCGACCCAAAGTTGACGTTTGCAAGGAGACATCTGGGTTGGGTTTAACATGGGGTATACCCCAAAAACAGCATTTTTCATGGAAAAGAAGATGCTAAAGCGTCAAAATTTGAAACAGCCTGTTTTCAGACCAACCCATTTGGGACCAAAAGTGAAACTGATTGAACTTTCATGACCCCGCACAATCTAGGCTGTTTTTTTTTGGCCCACCCCAGGAGGTGATGCTGGCGGTGTTGCCGCACCTTGAAATTGACGCCGTGCAAGAAGAGCTTCGGAATGGAAATGCAGAGACTCTTCTTGGAGTCGGAGACAACTTACCAGACCTCATCCTGGACTGCATGGGTGGCACAAAGGGCAAGGAAGTTCTTGTGCGCTATGGTGTGGAGCAGAGACTTCTTACAATTCAGATGCATTGATTTGTTCCACGCTGCTCAACGTAGTAGGATTCCTAAAAACTAGATAGGCACTGACTGCTGGCCCCTTTTTTCGATCCGGGGCATTTCTGTGTTTATGAATTTATATTTATGATCGTATTTTTTTTTCCGTGATTCAGCAATGACCGCAATGTTGGACCCCAAATTGCAGATGATTTGCATTGATTTTCAACTTTTTCCGGACCCACCCATGCGTATCTCCAGGGGATTCTACAGTTTCCCATTTTCCTATTGTAGCCAGGAATCACTTATTTATAAACGATTGACCTCCCACTCACAGGGGATTTTTCATGATGTCCCAAGCCATGTGCAGCATTTGTTCGCATTTGTTCCCTCCTGTATTTTAGCCTTGGCTAGCTGGAAAATCGTTTGGTTCGATGATTATCCCATATCTTCCCGTTTTATTGTCCGGATGTTCAATGATTTTCCCAGGTGAAATCACTAGAAGATGCAGTTCCAGTTGCAAGTGGTGATTCTAACCATGGTTCTGGGGAACATAATATGTATGCCAACTGATTGTGGTTGAAATCCCATAGATATTATCCATCATTCTGAGACATACCGAAGCCACAGTTTTCACTGATTGTCCCTTATATCCCCAGTATATCTCCTGTATATGCCCAGTATACACCGCATCACACTTGCTTCCCCATTGTTGGTTGGAATAAAAAGGTGAACATCACCATCTTGTTACCAGATCAACGGTGAGCTCATGTCTATCCCATGTATCCCTTCGTATCTTCCTTTATATAGTTAGTTTTTTTCCCAGAAAACCTATGGTTGGTTAATAGTATATATATAATATTTATAATAATATATATATGTATATATTATATTTAATACTTATAATATACTATATTATATATATTACATTATATTATATTATATATATAATATATTATGTATATTATAATCCAAGAGTTGTAGTTAAGAACCAATAGTCAACCAACATCCTTAGGGAAAAATGGATAGATTATCCAATGGTTGAGTTACTGTAGCTATTAACAATCCCCTTAGTAATTACCTATAAACCATTGTTAACAATTAACTATTAATGATCCAATGGTTAACTTTTATCTATTATACAACATCTATTAGCTATCAACTATTAACTTACTCTTAACTGGGCAATTTTTGACATTTTTTTACATTTATGTTAGTTTACCCCCAGGTGGTGATGATTAAGATCCCCCTAAGGAAGATCCGTGTGATCTCGGTCTTCCCCACGACGCAAAGATGCCCTGCGGATCCGTCGCGGCTGGGGGTGGCCCAGCTGAACGAAGTTTGGGCCTGTCCTGCGGCGGTGGCACTGAGGGGTCGACTGCACCTGGAGGAGACCGGATGCAACGTATAGATTTATGTCGAAAAAGATCGAAAAGTTGTCTATATACAAATTACAGATAGATAATATTTATCTATCTGTATATATATATACATATATGCATGTATGTATTAGTCTAATGTAATGCAAGCTAATGTATGCTAATGTAATGTAATGTAACGCAATGCAATGTATGCAATGTAATGCAATGTATGTGTGTGTACATATATATATATATGTACATACATATATATATACATCCATATATATACATATATATATATACATACATACATACATACATTACATTACATTCCATTCCATTACATTACATTACATTCCATTCATACATACATACATACATACATACATACATACATACATACATACATACACACATACACACACACATCCATCCATCCATCCATCCATCCATCCATCCATACATACATACATACATACATACATACATGGAAATTTCCATTAAACCCAACCAATGGCTTTGAGACGCTACATACATACATACATACATACATACATACATACATACATACATACATACATACATACATACATACATACATACATACATACATACATACATACATACATACATACATACATACATACATACATACATACATACATACATACATACATACATACATACATACATACATACATACATACATACATACATACACATATACATACATATACACACATAGTATACATATTTGATACATAATACACATGAATTATATATGCTATATCTATTCTAACCTGTGTATATGTATGTATATATGTATATACACAGATACGAACTCCTTGAGCCTTGAGTCAACTCGGCGAGGATGCAATGCTTGTGGAGGTGGATGTGGTCTACTCGCAGGAGCCTGGCCTGTGGGCCAAGGCGCCTCGACCACCTCGTGGAGTGGAACATCGGCTTCAGTTGGGAGTGACCGCAGCTGCAACGGCCATCCTGCGCATCACTGGAGGGAAGGTCCCAGAACAGGCAGATCCATGTGGAATGAATTTCTGGAAGAAGCTACGAAACAGTTTGGAACGACAGGAGTCAGGTCATGATCAATTGCCAGATCTACATGCTATTGGATGTATTGCAGACTACATTTGGCGAGGGCGAAGTGCTATCAGCTCAAGTATCGGTGCCAAACATTCGGACATGGCCATCACCCGTTGGGATCTTTCCAAGCCTGTCGACTTGGCCAATGTGGTGCTGATGACCTCAGATGAAGCGCAGCAGCATCGCGCAGCGGCTCTAAGTACAGGATCCCTGCCACAGGCTGTGCTCGATGCTCTTCAAAGCCAAAAGGATGACGCGGATGTTGCGGATGATGCGAAACACTTTCGACGGATTCACAGAATCTTACAGAAACTCAGGCAGCATCTGCAGGCCAGCTACACTGGTCTGTCAAGAGCTGTCAAGGATGTACCTCCAAAGGTCGATGAAGTGCAGGCAGATGTAGCTGGACCCAGTTCCTCAAACATACCAAGCTCACCGAGCAGACCAAGTAGATGGGGCTTTGCAGGCTTAGTGGGTGAAACCAAATTGGTGGAGCTTCGATGTTTGTCTGCGACCAACTGCAAGATCTTTGGTAAAGCAGAGTTCATGAGCCCTGGCGGTTGCCAAAAGGATCGTGTGGCCCGGCAAATCATCAATGAAGCTGTTGCCTCTGGCACCTTGGCCAAAGGTGGAACTATCGTTGAGGGCACATCTGGCAGCACAGGGATCTCACTCTGCTTGGCAGCTGCCGCCCTTGGATACAACGTTCATGTTGTCATGCCTGATGACCAAGCAGGAGAGAAAGCGGCGCTCCTAAAACGATTTGGTGCCACTGTTCAGATGGTGCGACCTGCCAGTATTTCAAGCCCTGAGCACTATGTGAATGTGGCTCGGAGACATGCTGAAAAGCTGAATTCTGAGTCTTCCAACTCCGCACTCTTTGCGAATCAGTTTGAAAACCCTGCAAACTTCCGAGCTCACTACCAAACCACTGGACCAGAGCTTTGGCAGCAATGTGCTGAGTTGGATGCCTTCGTGATGAGTGCAGGAACTGGGGGCACTTTGGCAGGTGTGGGCAGGTTCCTCAAGGAACAATCCTCAAGGATTCAGGTTGTTTTGGCAGATGTCCAGGGTTCATCCCTCTACTACAAAGTGGCCAAGGGTGTTCTCTATGCGCCTGAACAGGAAGAGCGCTCCATCCGGCGACATCGCCAGGATACCATTGCAGAAGGGATTGGAAACGACCGCTTGACCGCCAATTTTGCCATGGGCTTGCAGGAACACAGCGGAAGTCCAGGCATTGATTCTGCCGTGAGAGTCTCTGATCAGGAAGCCTTGGACATGGCACACCATTTGCTTCGCCACGAAGGTCTGTTTTTGGGAAGTTCTGCAGCAGTGAATTGCGTGGCTGCAGTAAAAGTGGCCAGGACTTTGACCCCAGGGAGTACTGTGACCACCATCCTTTGTGCAGCTTGGTTTGTGGAGGGTTGGTTTAGTACATGTTTTTGATGTCTTTGGCTCACAAGATTCCTGGGAGTCACGTCATCTTGGTTCTACCGTTTTACCAATTTTTACCTTTCTTTTCACTTAGAATTTACATGAATCTACCCCCTGTACCTTTCTTTTGACTTCGAATTGGCCAGACTCACTTCATATTGCCGTTGCCTTTCCCAAGGACAATGGACAACGACATCTGACCAAGTTTTACAACCCAGCTGCATGGGAGGAGTATGGCCTCAACCCGCCGGGTCAATATGCAGCAGATGATTTGTCATTTGTAAGCTGATAGCTGATATTACATGGGTTTTCATGGGATTTAATAGGATTTAACTGATTTAACCATGGGGATTCTGATCCATCTACCCTCCGGTAGTCAATGATCATGGCTTTCTGGAAAATCCCCATCCACCAATTTGGTTCGATGATTTTCCCAGCGACAAAAACCTGGAGTTCTCGGAGTGTCCATTGCCACGTTTGAAGACCGAAGGGTATGTCCCGCAAATATCCCGATTCAGGCCGAATTTCTTTGATCTGCCCATGATTTGAAGGGATGTTGGCGGTCCAGAAAGGTCCAGAAAATGGGAATGACATACCTGGAATCGCTGGTGGACAGGCCAAAGTTGCCCTGACACCCTCTGAAGAGCTAGGAAGTGGTAGGCTGACATGCTGGTAAAATGCCACTGACCAGCCTGAATGATCCGTCCGAAGTTCTGAGAAACTGGCGCTTGCGCGACACGGAATGCATTTCGCCCAGCATTTTGCTCAAGATGCACAAAGTACATTCAATCATTGTCAATCATTCATGATTCTTGAATCCGTGAACGACATGTTTTTTTTATTAAAGCATGTTCATAGCCTAAATGCTTTCGTTGATCAACATGACTGGTATGGCTTGGAACATGAACTTCCAGAGCATAAGAAGCACTTCTAATTGGAAGATGCTACCTAAGGGATCCCAAGGGTAAAGATGGTAAAGTGCCAGAAGCAGATGCCTCCTGGCAAGCCCAATGTGAATGGAGTCACTCGTGAGCTCCTCAGGAATTACTGTGCTGTGCTTGTGGAAGCTGCCTTCATAAATGAATGAGTTGAAAACAGTTGAAGATTAATAGGTTTGCCACTCCCTTGGTTTCCGAACATCAAAATGTCCTCATGTGTAAACCAAAAGAGACATGCGCATTCTACATGTTTGATCATTTTTGTGCACAGAAACAGGTATGTATGCATGTTTTTCCGTATACATATGATGTTTGAGGCTCAAACGCGGGGGATACTTCCAGAGCAAATACAGATGTTTTCTTTGTTCAAGTGCAGACCGTGATTCTTTCAAAATGCACTTGGCACCGTCAGCAACACTTGTTTTCACTTCTGGAGTTTTTTCACATAGGGCTGCCCTGGCTCGCCTCCGAAGTGGCTGCGACCGGGGCATCATGCCTGGTGTCACTTGGAACGTCATTGGGTTTGCATCCCCTGTGATGCCAAGAATTGGCAAGTTGGCTGCGAGCTCATTGGTGAAAACTTGGGGAAAACCTCAGACTTCCATGGTTTAGTAATTTGATATGGTTTATAAACTGTTTATCTATGTTTATCTATCTACTGTATATTCCCTTCTTCAATGGCCATAAGTTGGGGGTTGGAAAGATGAACACTTGACGAGGTTCCTGCTGCAGCCCGCACAAATGGCTTTTTGCACCTCATGCCCGAGCTTCCCAGGAAGCCCAGGCAACAAATCTGGCCCTGTGCTCGTTGAGTACTGGAGCTTTCAATATCTGAAAAATAGCAGTTCTACTACACTCCGGTGTTGCTCTGAATCACAATACATCCTGAGAGCGCGCATTGGATGAAGAGATTTCTTGTGAAGAGATTTCTTGTGTGGTGTTTCAGGGATTTTCAGGGGTTCTTTTCTTGGCAGGCGGAGCTGGTATGGCGCACCGCGTTTGGAACCAGTGGATGCCTCAGATCGTTCCCATCAGCAGTTGGATAGCCCAGTGATGCCCAGTGGTTTGTGCAACCTGAGGGTCGCCAGTCCTTGCCGCCAAAGCCAAGGTGGAGTAGGGAGCACTGGTGGGGAGATGTAGAAATGGGTGTGTGTGAAGCATGAGACAAACGTCGACAAAAAGTGGATATATATCGACATTACTTCAGCGACTTCAGACACCACCATGTTTGCTGAAAAAGGAATCAAGTGAAGCCCGTAGGGGCAACAGCTGCTTCAGCCAGGTTGGTTGAGACTCGGAAGTGTCTCCTGGACACAACAGCTATGAGCTGCACGATGCTCGCATCTGAGCCTTTGGATACCCAGGCACACACTGCTAGGGAGCTGGATCTTGGGGGTCCCCAAGCCGCTTGATGTATCCATGTAAATCACTATGAATTAATGGAATATAAATAATATAAATGATACTACTACCATTATACAATAACCTATAATTCATCTATAAATGATTCCAAATCCATATAATGGTAGTGGTAATATGTGCAGGAGCAATGTGACCTGCGTGTCTGTGTGCCCGGCCAGTCAACCGATGCCTTTCTGGCACAGACAGCGCGGACAAGTGTTGCTTGGCAGCAGGCCATTCATAGGCCCTTTGTAAATCCGAAAATTTAACTTTCTGACCCACTTGGAAAGTGATGAGCCTTCCATCGTGAAACATAAACTTACTGCAGTTTGTTGGGTTCCAATTGGTTGCGCAGATGCAATGACAAGGAAATACACTCCATACTGTATCTTTATGTAGCCTTGCAGAAACTGCACATCTGCAGACTACAGGTCCTGGAGCTTCGCGAGAAGCGTTTGACACTGAAGAAGCGTCTCGGAAGATTTTGGATACAAGAACTCCAATCTTCATCACAAAGTAGAGTTGGGGTCTTCATCTACACCAAGAAGGGAAGATCTCTGAAACTACGTATAAATGAAGCTATCCATGCATCAAGCTCGTTGATGGCTGCACAAAGACATAAGAGAAGCAGCATCTGAGAGCCGAGGGCAGCCAGCAGGAAGCATTTGCCGAAGATGGAGTCAGGCTCGAAGGTTGTGTGATACATGTGCCATGGTTTGACCTGAATTGGAGGGAGGGACCACATTTTATGGAGCAATCTTCGTGGAGAATGGGCCGAGAATCTTTGGCCCAGGTGGTGATGGCACAGTGCAGAGGTACTTGTACAGATCTAGGCTTCATGAGTGCTGGCGTTAGAATCCTTCGCACGCACAGTGGGTTGAACGAATCCGAATCGGAGCGGAATCCCTGGGTCTGAGATGAAAACTTGACCGTGCTTGAAAGGCCAAAGGCCTTCTCTTCCCGGTTCAGTTTTACTCGTGTCACGAGGGCATCCCAAGTGAAGCGGACAGCAGCTCAAACCTCTTTGCAGAGCTCCGGAGATTGAAGAAATTGAAGAAACAACAGTATTGTTGGCTTCACTCTTGTTGGTTCCGATCTTGTCAAATATCGTGCATTGCGGACTCAACTTAGACTACGAGCAAAGAAGTTATATAGCTGCTTGGAAGTTGCACCTTAAGGGTTGGACTTCCACAACTTCCTGTGTTCTTCGCAGAGAATCATTGCAACAAAAGCCCATGGCATCGCAGGGATCTGAGCTTTGTTTGAGATCTCTGAATCCCATTCAATCCCCTGATCAAACACTCAGTGAACAGCCGCTCAAAAACCAAGATCAAACTGTAATCTCACGTTACTCACGTTCCTCCAAAATTTGCCTTTGATCCACCAAAGCATAAGGTGCTTCAAAACTGCGACGAGAAGGCATTGGTCTATGCTTGTGGCATGTTGGAAACCACTTGATGCTCCAACACAATTTACTTTTTTTTTGGTATTTTTTTTAAGATGCAATATTTCAGCAAGGAGACTTTATTGAATTTGGGTTGACTCCCTCAATGTGCGTAGAGACTGAGGATTATGTGCAAAGCACTCAGCTTGAGAGTTTGTCCAGTGTGCAAGTCCTAGAAGTGTGGCCTTCTAGCGCTGCATTCTTCAGGGAAAAGCGCAAAAAGGATAATTAGGTAGTAGAGAACCTCAGATTGAGAGATGCTGCGATAGTAGTCACAGCAGTCTCAACCATTTAAAGCTCGGCCAGCCCTGGCTCAAGCGTCGATGTGTGACCTTGTGCAATGTTTGGGTAGCGGACCACTGAGATTGTTTGGATTCAAAATTGAACTCAACAAACAATGCCAATGCCAATTCTGAAACATCCAACGCCGTAACGCACTGGAAACAATCGATTTGCGAATTGCTTCCTGGACCTGCCTGGGAAACCATGTCTTCGGAGGCGTCCCTCTGGGGTGTCTGGCTTGCACAATTCATGAAAGGACCAACTGCACAGGGTTGGATGTGAAGAAAGCACCCCCAAAGTCACACTCAAACGTGGACGGATCACGTCCGCCTCAGCTATTGTTCTTTGACAGGCAGTTTCAAAGCGCCAGGCGCTTGAGGCTCTCGGATGCTTTTTTCGGTTTACCCCGTGTATTGGAGAGCACAAGTCAAAACATGACATCCTCAATGACATCCTCAGCCATTTAACCTATCCGTAGAGGTTGAATCCGAGAATTTGAGGCAACTGGGTGCCAGATGTCAAGGGACCATAAGGGACCCAGGGTCCACCCTAGGTGCTGCAATCAGCACAAGAAGGTCTCTCCGTAAAGGCAGTGTTGGAACTGCAGAAAATGGAGCAGGCCCGGAAAACAACTTGGAGTTGTTTGATGATAGAAAATGCTTAGGATGGTCCATGGGTGGACGGTTCTGAATTTCGTCGGCTGTGAAATCACAGAAACCATGAATTTGCTATGGGAAGATAGATGGAAAACTCTGCAGAGGTAGTTGTGAAGGCTCATTTTCATGTAGGTTTGTCTGAAAATGGGGTACCCCCAAATCCATTGGTTAATCAGTGAATCATCATTTTCCCTATGAAAAGTAGCATTTAATTTTTCAGACAGTGGCCAGGTCTCACCCTCCATGAAAGCTGCAGTTGCGGCCGTCCTTGCCCTCAGGTTGTAGTTCAATGGAGCACCTGAAACAGAAGCTTGAGCTACAGTAGATGGTGCTATCTCAGACACATTTGAAGTCCAATAGTTTCAGAAAGCATATAGTAATATATAGGGGTTTCCATCAATGATGGTACCCAAAATGGATGGTTTATAATGGAAAATTCCATTAAAATGGATGATTCGGGGGAACCCCTATTTCAGGAAACCTCCACGTAGTATATAATTAGGTAACAGTAGCATTTGAAAGCATGGTGCATTCCCGCACTGAAGGCCATTTGCATGGTCTCTGGCCATTATGAGTCAGCAATACAGGAGCGGAGTTGCGAGGGGAGCTTTTGCACTTACACTTTTTCTCAGGTTTCAGCCATTAGATTATAATAGACCTAACTTGACCTAACCATGAAACATCCATTAATCATCCATTAATCATCCCCTCATCCATGAATAGCCATGAATAACACCCATCCATTCATCCATGGATCCATCCCTTCACCCATCATTTCATGGCCAGGTGGAGCCATTAAGCTTGAGCAGAGCTGCTTGGCCCGAGCTCAGGGCATTGGTGGTGAAGCCTGGCAGGGAGCCACAGCCACTGTCAGCTTTAAAAATGACCTTTTTCTGGAACCAAAAAGCCAGTATTCATAGGATCTTTTGATATCAATATTAGCTATCTATGTATCTATGATTTATCTATGTTTTATCTATGTTTCATCCATGTTTTATCTATGTTTTATCCATTCCTATCCTATCTAGTTATTTGGTTATTTATCTGGGGTGTGACACCCAAAGCTACTTATGGAAGCTGCACGAACCATGCAAAGCTTTGCAAAGGCCAAGTAATCAGTGCACTCCGAAACTTCTCCTTCGCAGCGGGATGCCTAGCCGTTTTTTTTTTCTCCGCGTAGCCGCTGGCGTAGCCGACGAGAGATGCTGAGACTTCGTTGCGACTTCGTTGAGGTGGATGGCGGCAATGTACCTGCAAGGGTTGCCTGCAACCTAGAGATGAGTTGCGACCTGCGCAGCTGCTGGTTATTATTTGTAGATATTTGACGTCTGCCGGGCCGGCTCCAAGGTGCAGCTGTCTAAAGAGTGCTACGAGGCCAGCGAAGGCAGTCCAGCTACAGAGGAGCCGTGTGGGGGAGGATTCGTAGGAAAAAGTCATAGGTCGTAGGTCTCCCACAGAAATGGGGCACTTCTTTCAGGTCCTTAGGGAATGTTAGGGAATGTTAGGACTAGGTCAGCTAGAGCTAGAGCTCTGTCGCTCCCACCACAATTTTTGATACAGTTTCGCAGGGCCGTTGATGTGAATGCCATGGGGCACTTTACTGATGGCCATTTGTGGGTGGAGGGATGACATTTACATATTAGATGCCATGTTCATACTTTCTTTGCTACATCAGTCTCAGACACAACCTGCTTCAGAGATGTTTTTGTTATTTGGATTATTTGGATAGGCCATGATAGGCCTTTGTCTTCACATAGCTTCGAATTGCACTCTTCATAACATGAATGGTATAACATGATATCTCAGTCTTCCCAACGGGATTCGGCCTCGCGACGCGTTCATGGGGCATTATGGGGCTCACTGCCTCGCAGCCCGAAGAAAATACCGAACAGCAAGGCCACATTGTGGTTTATGATGGAGGGATTAATGGGGGTTATAATAGGGGTTGGTAAATGTCCCGTTTGGGATAATATGTGCAACATCACCTTCAAGTATTTGTTGGAGATTATATCCTCAGTAGTTGCGTTTATCGACCCTGGTATAATGTGGAAAGTAGTAATGGTAATTGTGTGGTTGATAATGGTTCTATAATAATGGTTACTGCAACAACTGGCAACAATGGGGGTTGTAATGTGATAAAGCCAATGCCAGAGCCACCATCCCAAAACCCCCAGTCATGGTCGGTGAATGGGATGGTTTATCATTGGTTTTACGACATTAGCCAACCATGACTGGGGTTAATGGGGGTCATTGGTTTTATCCATGATTTACAAACAATGGAGCTATTCATGTTTGTAAATTTATCTTTCCATTTTCTCACTCCGACACGTATGACAGCCTCTTCAACATCGCTATGGAATGATTTGAAACCCAAGCTACTCTGTGCAAAATACGGATATCGAAAAGCAGGTTGTTAGGTTGTTGGTGCCATTTACTGTATAATGTATTTCCATCCACCAATTTCTTTACATATTTTCTCTTGATCCTCGATGTCTTGGCTCTGACAGGCCTTGCTGTGGGCATTCCAGTTCGTTATTTTCTACTGGGCGATGACCAGCAAGCTCAGCGCAAACTTGTACTAGCCAAGCAGAGGCCAGCAGACTTTAGCTATGGGACAGAATTCTTCAACGGTCAGGGAATAGCTGTAAAGAGTTGACATTCTTGCGACCATTTGTGGGTTTGGGTTGGAGTCCGAGTAGCATCGTTTGGGTTTGTCTGAATAAAATTAGGGGAAACCCCCATTCCATCCACTGGTTAATTATCCTTTTTCCTACTATTTTATGATTTTTGATGGCCATAGCTAGGGATTATTCCTCCATTTTCAGACACAGCACATATTTCATGGATATTCACAGCTGACCAGGTGTATCGCGGATACAGTGGCGCGACTCTCTGAAAGCTTTGGGGACGATCTGCTGAAGAGGTTGCAAAAGGTGACACCAGTGCTTGTCACTGGTAGCTGTGGGTGGCTTGGAGATGAGAGATTTCAAGTATTCAAGGGCAGAATATATATATACACACACACGCACCACATAATACATTAAATTACGTTGCGTTACATTGCAGTGCATTTTATTATATTAACAGAAGGGAGGATGATGGGGGGTTGAAGGCGTGCACATTGTAGAAACACGCATGTTTTGCACTGTTTGCTTAAAATCATCCTGTCTGCTGATCTGCTTCCATTCCTGGAGCTTGGATCTATCCCAAAGTCACATACAAACAATCCAAATTCCGAAAGAGGAAAAAACTGGTCCAAAACCATGGAAAAACAAAGATAAAAAACGCAAAACGTTTCACCCCATGTCACCTGTCCACCTTCTCCTCACATCCTTTCCATGGGTCGATTTTTTTTTTGGGAGGTTTTTGCCACTTTGTCAGTCCATCAATGTCAGTTGCTCATTTTTTGTTGTTTTTTGGTTTCCTGTTTCTTGGGTTCCTGGGAGAATTTTTCACCCTGACAAGCATCCATTGGCACAGCTTTCACTCCTCCACATTTTATATTGGTGTCTTCATTGAGTTACTGATTTTGGCTACTGAGCCATCAGAGAAAATGTACAGTAAAAACAGCTCTATCACCCACCTCTTTAGGTACTCCATTGGACTGAGGTTTTATTGGTATGCCGAGGTTTTGGTTCCTCATCTTTAAAGGTTTGGCACGTGTTCTTCAAACCTGGAATCACTAAAAGTGATATCTAACGTAAAACTATATTTTTCAAAAATGGATTGTTTAAGCAACGCTTTGTTGTACAATAAATATGTTTGTCTCAAAGTGTTTGCTCCTTCAAAAAGGCAATATTGTATCCCTCACGACAAGATTCCTCTAAATAAGGATGTTGTTGTTTTCCTTTGGAAGAAGCAGATACTATTTTGTAGAATGCCACATTATTCTTCTTGGCAACTCTTGCATGCCACAGATAAGGCATTTCTTGAAGAAATGACGGTATTCCTTTGAACAGACATGTTCAATTTAAAGGTTCAATTTTTCATTGTACAGTGTAATAGGTTGAAAGAAATTATATCTTTAAAAACACTACTCTAAGATGTACTAGTTTTTGAAACAGAATGTATGGTTGAAATATATCACAATATTTTCAAAGCTAATCCTTCCTCCTCCCACTAGTCAGACATCACTCCTATAAAAAATGAACAATATTCCTTTCCAGGATGCAATGCGCCTAGCAGGAAGTGTACAGCCTATAGCTGGAGAATACAACCAATTTTTGCTCAATACAGCCTACAGCCCATTATCTCCTTTGAAAGGGGCAGTAATTGTGCAGAGCATGCAATAAATATTTCAAACGTGTGCTTGTATTTTTACATTTTCACAAAGGTACAGTACACAATTCACTGCAGAAAGCAGGGTTGTTTTCAAGATGCATGATCTTCCCCAAAAAAACTTGTTCAAGATATAGCAGTCTTTTCAGGAAGTGCATTTCTAAAGTTTCAGTTGCGCTTTCATACGCAAAATGTATTGTTTCCCTGCAAGCGCGTTACTCTTTTTCAACAAGGCAGCGCTTTTAAGGCAAACTATAGATGATGCCTGGAAAAGGTCTAGATTCAATCGTAGTTAATCTATCTTTTGAAGAAGTGCATGTTCAATCTGGACATGTTCTATTGTGAAAAGCACTCGTGAACAGCATGAAAGGGTGCAGAACACTTTTCAGAAAACGCAGAATTTGCAGCTGGAAATTGCACTCATGTCTGTTCAATATCAAATATACATTTTTCGAGAAACATAAACAATTGTAAACAAATCAAAAACATATCAATGGTGTGTGTAAAATATACATGGTAATATATACATGGTAATGAATACAACAATATATATATATATAATGCAGAATTCATTGCAGGCATCAAAATCATTGATGAAAGCACATTTCTTGTATGATTACATTATGTCTTGAAATATTTTGTTTGAAATGTAGCATGACCATCTCATAACCACATCAACTCATGCATAATGATGCAACACCTTTTAAAGTCAGACCTTTCACCACTCCACCCCCCATGGTAAGCCGCTCTCTCTATATTATTACGAAAGCCAGCCGGACGGACTGGACTCGTTGCTGTTTGCGAACGTAGTGAGAGATTAGGGGGTTTGAGGGGGGACCCCTCGACAAACGGCGCCAAAATCACAGAATTAGGTGGTGTTCAGGATGGCCGTTGGGCTCGTTTTGCAGGGTAACGTACCAGGTGGCAAATGGGTGACAGTGGGGTATCGATTCCCCCCTGGTCCGTCATTTTTGGGCTTCTTCTGGTACCGACTGGTGTGTTCTTTTGTGAGCATGTTAGGGCTAAAAAGGAACATGTTGTTTGTTGCTATTGGGGCTGCTTGTAGCACCAACTGGCTTACTTTCTGGGGCTGTTTGGTTTAAGTTTTAGGGTTGCTTGTAGCATCCTGGTTCGTGCTTTCAAATGGCGTGTTTCTTTTTGGGCATGGTAGCACCAACTTCCTTTCTGGGGCTATTTTGTTTAGGTTTTAGGGTTGCTTGTAGCATCCTGGTCCGTTCTTTGTGGGCTTCTTCTGGCACCAACTGGTGTGTTCTTTTGTGCGCATGTTAGGGCTAGACGGAACACATTGTTTGTCGCCCCCGACAAAGAGAGCAGATTGTGCTTACGTTCGACCAAGAACGGCGTGTTCCTTTTGGGGCATGTTATGCCCAAAAGGAACACGCCGCTTTTAGGTCATCTTGGAACCGTATTGCGCCTAGACGTGACGTATGTATTGACAGAGAGATAAGCTTGGAGACGTCAATAGGTTTATAAATAGGTGGAGGGTAGAAAAAAAAGATAGAATAGATAGACAGACGGATAGAGGTAAAGCAGACAAATATAGATTATGTGTGGACCGAGAGATAAGCCACTTGGATCGATAGATGGATAGAGAGATAGATTCATAGATACAGAGATAAGAGATAGAGAGAGAGAGGTAGATAGATCGATAGATCGATAGATCGGTAGGTAGATAGATATATAGAAAGAAAGAAAGAAAGAAAGAAAGAAAGAACGAAAGAAAGAAAGAAAGAAAGAAAGAAAGAAAGAAAGAACGAAAGAAAGAACGAAAGAAAGAAAGAAAGAAAGAAAAAAGAAAGAAAGAAAGAAAGAAAGAACGAACGAACGAAATAAAGAAAGAAAGAAAGAAAGAAAGAAAGGAAGAAAGAAAGAAAAGGAAAGAAAGAAAGAAAGAAAAGGAAAGAAAGAAAGAAAGAAAAGGAAAGAAAGAAAGAAAGAAAAGGAAAGAAAGAAAGAAAGAAAGGGAAGGAAAGAAAGAAAGAAAGAAAGAAAGAAAAGGAAAGAAAGAAAGAAAGAAAAGGAAAGAAAGAAAGAAAGAAAGAAAGGAAGGAAAGGAAAGAAAGAAAGAAAGAAATAAAGAATGAAAGAAAGAAAGAAAGAAAGAAAGAAAGAAAAGGAAAGAAAGAAAGAAAGAAAGAAAGAAAGAAAGAAAGGAGGAAAGAAAGAAAGAAAGAAAGAAATATATAAATAAAGAAAGAAACAACATATAGATAGATAGATAGATAGATGGATGGATGGATAGATAGATAGATAGATAGATAGACAGATAGATAGATAGATAGACAGACAGACAGACAGAAAGAAAGAAAGAAAGAAATAAAGAAAGATATAAATAAAGAAAGAAACAACATATAGATAGATAGATAGATAGATGGATGGATGGATAGATAGATAGATAGATAGATAGATAGATAGATAGATAGTGTACTTGAGAGACAGATTGCCGAGGGCCAGAAGCACCACATGATAGCATGAATTGTTGGCAGCGAGCTTCGCATAGCTACGTAGATGCAGAGATGGGGGGCATGGAGAAAGAGAGAGAGAGAGAGCACGAGAGAGAGAGAGAGAGAGAGACAGAGTGTGAAAGTTAGGTTGATGCATGGATGGCTTGAGGGAAGGCTGGACAGATAGGTTGATAGATAGATAGCTAGATGGCTACAGGTCATGGAAGCTTTGTCGGCAGCAGGCTGCAATGACAACCTGACATACAGCTATGCCTGTGCTGAAAGTAGATCGTCACGTCATCTCACTTTGGCGACATGCGGATGACAGCTAGCACGCTTAATGTGAGATGGAGACATGGACCAGTGGATAGAGTGAATAGATTGGTAGGATGGTAGACAGATGGATTGCTATAGACTCTAGACTGAGAAATTCTTCTGACGCATTTTCTGACTTACTGGTTGCACGCATAGTGACAGTAGTCAGCAGCGCTAGCACACCTTGTTGCGTTGTGACTACCCGACCCCCGTTGCCATGCTGCACGTGGCCGTGACACCTGAGAGGCCCGGAGCCACCGTGCATATATGGAGCCTATGTTGGGCCTACGTTGATCCATGTTGGGCTCTTGGAGGCGACGCTGGGGCCATATTCGAGCCATGTTGAGCTTATGTTAAGCCAAGAACGGCGTGTTAAGCCGAGAGCTGCGTGTTCCTTTTAAGCCTTTCGGCCCAAAAGGAACACGTCGTTTTATGTCGTTTTTAGATCATGTCGGGACCATGTTGGGCGTATATGGGGCCTATGTTGGGCCTATGTTGATCCATGTTGGGCTCTTGGAGGCTACGCTGGGGCCGTATTCGAGCCATGTTGAGCTTATGTTAAGCCAAGAACGGCGTGTTCCTTTTAAGCCTTTACCCGGCCCGAAAGGAGCACGTCATTTTTGGTGTCGGGACCATGTTGTGCGTATATGGAGCCTATGCTGGGCCCATGTTGATCCATGTTAGGCTCTTGGAGGCTATGTTGGGGCCATCTTCGAGCCATGTTGAGCTTATGTTAAGCCAAGAACGGCGTGTTTCATTTGAGAGCTCCAATTTTGAAGGTGTTACGGGCTAGAAATTTGCTGCGGTACGGTATTGATTCTCCCTCTGTCTGGGTTTTCCGGGGTGAGCTAAGTAGCCAGTCAGAGAAATCGATAGAGCGAGACATGTTGCTTAAAAGGCTAGAGATATGCAGCTGACCAACAGAGTCTTAGGAAGGCGACCACTGGAGAACTCCAACTTTGAAGGTGTTACGCGCAGTCGTGATGCTTGCAGGGTTACTGCAACTGGAGAACTCCAATGTTGAAGGTGTTCTGCGCAGGAAGTTTAGTGCTCTCAGTCCTGATGCTTATGGGTTTGCTCCAACAGAGGAACTCCAATTTTGAAGGTGTTGTGTGTGCGCAGGAAATTTGCTGCAGTAGGGTATGGATTCCCCTCAGTCCGGTTTCTCGCCAGTTAAACAAATAGATGGAGAAACAATTATTGCTCGAGGGACTGAGGACATGTAAGCCACCAGCAGAGTTTCAGGATGTCTGCCTCAATTTTTTTGTGCAGTTAGGGCTACCCTACAACTGGAGGATTTCAATGTTGCAGGTCTTACGCGCAGGCAATTTGCTGTTTTCATTTTCAGAGCTGGCTTTCGTTCCCCCCTTCTCCGGTCTTATACTATGCTGTAATATATTATAATATATTATAATATATTATAATATATTATATTATATTATTTTATTTTATTTTATATTTTATTATCTTATCTTATCTTATATTATATTATATTAAATTATATATATTATATTATATTATATTATTATATTTTACAGTTTTATATTATATTATATTATATTATATAATTTTATACTATATTGTACAGTATTTATATTATATTGTATTAAATTAAATTAAATTATATTATATATAATAATATATTATATTATATTATACTATATTATATTTTATTATATTATATTAGATTATATTATGTTATATTATATTATTGTATATTATTTTATTTTATATTATACAGTATTATACTATATTTTATATTTTAAATTATATTAAATTATATTATGTTATATTATATTATATTATCTTGCCTTGCGTTACCTTACAGTAACTCACCTTACCTTACCTGAATCTTACCAAACACAACGAAACCCAACATAACATTAACATAATACAATATAACATGCATACGTGCATCCATGCATCCATGCATGCACGCATGCATGCGTATGTAATGTAATGTAATGCAATGCAATGCACCGTAATGTAATGTCACCTCATGTCATGTCATGGCATGTACGTATGTATATGTTAATATATGTACACACATACCATTTTTTCATTTGTTTGGGGTCATCTTCTATGCATTTTTTGGTGCTTTCAGGTACCTGGGAGAAGCATTGCTCTCACTGCTGTGTGCAGTGGGTTTGCAGGCTCAGGGACTGGACCTCATGGCCAAGGAGCCTGGGAGCATCGCAGGAGATGTCTCTGCAGAAGAAACGGTTCAGCGCGCAGCTGAGGGCTGTAGACCTTCGGCCATCGCTGAAGTTGGAGAATCCCTGAAATCATCCATTGGGTTTTGAGGACTATCATTTAGTAACTTCCCATTAGTCAACCAAATGGTGTTGATTATTAGATTTGATTATTCATATACAATTTTTCCCCAAATTTCGTCCAAAATCTTATTAAGAAACCATGACTGGGGGCAAACATAACCCCCTAAACAGGGATATACACAATGATAAGACGCCAAATTGGGGATGGTTCATTTTTGGGTTTACCACATTAAAACCTTTGAGGCTATCCCACAGATGAAGACGCCAAGAGTACTTAATCTATTCTGGTAATTTTTGAGTTTCTTTCCAGGTATCCAATCGCACCCAAAGAGTGTCCAAACTGATGCGTCCGCTGATCACTCAAGGATCCATCATCCACACTGCAGCTTTGCATGCGCCGAACTTGGACTTCTACACAGAGGCTAAGATTCAGCAAGGGGTAGCATGACAGACAGGGGGGATGTCCGAAAATTGGAAGAAACCAAAAAAAATTGTCTGGGTATTTGGTGACATCAAAGTTCCCCATTCTTCGGGACCCAGGACCCAGAAACTTTGATCAGCAGTTTTGCCCGTCCAGGCAGATTTCAGACGCATCAACTTGGAGGGAACTCGCCATGTGCTGAACACTGCAAGCAAGATGGGCATGGTCGGCGTGGTTTTCTCTTCTACCACTTCCTTGATGAACACCCTCAAGGTGAAGGAACAGACAAGGCCTGGTGTCCAGAGTTGTTGGTTGATGCGTATACTAGCCAATATCTATTGGGGATTATCATTGCACATAATTAATTAATATTCATTATGCGAAGTCCTATTAGCAAACCATAGCAAACCAGTATAAAAGAACATCAGACTGGTGTGACAACTTGTATGTCAAATTGCAGGTCGGATATGATGGTCTTGAGGGCCACGGAGGACTATGGCACCCCACGCAACATTTATGGAGTGACCAAGAAGCTGGCGGAGGAATACTGCAAAGAATCTAGCTGCAGCGTGGCAATTCTGAGATTGAGCCGCTTCTTTGCTGAGGACGTGGCTGAAATGCTAGAGGTTGTATCCCAATACCCTGCTCATTTCCTTGAGGTATCTACTTCTATGGCTTAGTGAGTTTCCAGTTTGGTAGTCTGCTTCTGTGACCCATAACAAATCTTATTGTGTTTGACTCCCGGTGGCCACAAAGACTGCGAAGGTTTGGAGCATCGGGGATCGGGTTAAGCGTCGCATCGTTCTGGGTAGGACGCCTATGACACTTCCATGGACCCTTCTCAGCGCAGCTCACGGCTGACAAACGGAAACGTCAAGGCCAATGAACTGCTCTGTGGCACGCGAGCATCACTGGAGGACATGATCATGGCCCATCTTCTTTCGCTGGTGAAGATTGCGGAGTGTGAAAGTACCCACACTCTTGGCCCTCTGATTGTTTCTGCTCCGTCGCCACTTGTAGAGAAGAATCGGTGCAGCGAAGCGAAACTACTTTGCAGCGATGAAGCGAAGCGTATGTACGAAGCCTTGGGCTGGACATTCCCGCATTTGGGAAGAGTATTGGATTCGAGACACACATGGCAAAGTCTCAATTGGCAGCCGAGATGGAGCTTTGAACAGCTAGTGCAGGACTTTGAAGGCGGTGCCAATCTGGATCTCATCCGCGATGGGTCCTACTAGTCTGTCCAACCACACGATTGCGATTCTCAAGCGATGCAATGCGCAAGTGCCAAAAAGACAGAGCTCTCTCTCTCTCTCTCTCACTCACTGAAACAACCCCAGCATGATCCCTTAAAACTTCACAAATTTCCTCCCATTCTTGACCGCCAGGAGCTAAGCCTTGTGGGCGCCCAAGGATATTGTGCATTTTCGGAAGCTGCAGTAGATTTGCTGTGCAGAAGCTGTGAGGCCAAAGCCTTCCAGTCCTGGGTGCAAGCTGCTTGGAACTACTGGGAGGTGCGGATAGATCAGCTGCGGATCTTTTTCCGTTGATTACTTGGAGCTTTTGCTTACCATCAGGCTCCCACCAAACATCTTCAAACTTAAAGGGAACGAAGTGAATGTCTGGACACTTGACACATCTGCACACGCCCCTCCGAGGTGGTTGGAGCAAAGCGAGCGCAGGAAGCTGCGGCAAAGGCCGGGCCAACATTGAAACTGTGAGTTTCCAGTGGGCCTAACGGGGCTCTCAAGGGGAAATGTACCTTTCATCCTTGAACATGTATCCCTGCCACAGTGGTTTGGAAGGTTCCGGAAGCGAATCACTGAATCTCGAAATATATCCAAGATTATCCAAGCAATTTACCATCCTCAGAATGTGCCCCATAATATCCTCATGAAACCAACCAACACTTGGTGCAAATGCGACATCAGAGTTTTAGTTTACGCAGTCACAAAGTGCAGGCCGAAGCGAAGCCAGAAGAAAGGACCGAAAACATTGGAAAGGTGCTTCCTTTTCCTAGAGATCCAAAATGTGAGATTGCTCTATCGCCGTTAAAGGGATCATATTGGGATGTGAGTGGGACATTAGTGGGATACAATTCATGGGGAATAATATGATCTAATAGGGAAATATTGCCCATTTCGCCAGATTGGCGAGGCATTTTCAGGGTTCACATGGCATGCAGAGTCTGATAGGCTGTCACAAGAGCTGCTGGATCGTTCACTTGAAGTTGAATATGGAAACCCAAAGGAGGGAATGTGGACTCTGACATGTCATGAGAATCCTTGGCGCCATTCAATTTGAAGCTGTGAGCTGTCCAGGATCGGAACTCGTTCTACCAGGACAGGAAATACGGGGATGCTGTGTGCGACTGGGTTTCCACCTTGTGTGCCTGATGGACATTCGGATGTTCTAAGATTTGTCCAGACCTTGCCTGCCGCGGCTCAAGAGTGGTGTGGATCTGGGAAGTCTGGCAAGCCAAGAGCAAAGCCATTTGTAAAACATACAGCATCAGAGCTGAAAATCCCACTTTTCAATACTTTTCAAAGCGAACAAACAGGAAACAAACTGTTCTCAAGACTTTCCGACATGTTTCAGTGCCTGGGTTGTGTCTCTAATATTTACCCAAAGCTCAGTAGCCCAGCCCCATGCTCGCAGGCATCCCCTTGAAAATTGCTGGTACAAAGCTTGCCATATCCGAGTAAAGGACATGCCAGTAAAGGTACCAAAGGAGTTTCAATATAAAGAAACGAAACAGGGAAACAAACGTTTTGTTTGTATATGATGTTACGTTACGTGCTGTAGTAGCTTTTGTCTTCCTATGCTCCGGACTCTGCAGGTATTGCCGGGCTGGTGGTAGCTGCACTTAGTGCGTGGCTGGTCTGGTGACCCTCGTTTTTTCAGCAGATGTTTTTGAGTCAGTTTTTTCAGCATCACCAGAGTCACCAGGTATGTTTTAGTCCTGCAGAAAGTAGCATCTTCCAGTCTGTTGGGGACTCAGCGCCATCGTTGCGGGTGACCCAGACAGGCTTTTTGATTGACAGGCCGTGGGGTCCAAAGTGGCTAGCAGTGGCAGTCCCAAGCTCAGTAACGACCCCACGTTAGTGGTGGATGGATTTCAAAATCAGTGGAGCGTCTCCAAAGTTCTTTCTTTTTTTGGTTCAACCGGCTCCACTGCGTTGTGACCATTGTTTTGCTGTCCTTAACTGCCTTAACTCTTTTCTCATTGGCTGCCAGATGTTAATTGCACCAGCCAGGTATCGGGTGCCATATTCCGCTTCGGGCATCCTGGCTGAAGTTATCTGTCCCCAACGGGTTAGCCGCTGACCTGTTTGGCACTGATTTGTTTTGCTTGGACCGTTCGGACTGACAGGTAAAACACTCTTCCAGCGAGATACACAGTACCTGAAAGGTTCACGGCGTTCACGTAGACGTAGCATCATGTATGACCATCCACAGAAGACGCATGGGCTTTCCATTCAGTTCGTTTTTTAATCTAGCCAAGTTCCATCCCAAATCAATGTTTCCGCGACTTTGCAGTCAAGTTGGCTGGTCTCGACCTCCTACACATGGAGGAACATCTAGGAAAAAATACATCTCGGCTAGGGTTAGGTCGAACAGCTTGATGCCCAGCTTTTTCTATTTGATACTGATCATTTTCAGCAAGACTTGTGGTTCATCTCCTCCAAATTCAGAGGTGCTTCGCAAACTGGAGACTGTAGACGTTGTTCGCATTCCGAGGGTGCCGTCCTTTTTCAATTCCTCCTGGGTCTCCCCAGTTCCCAACCGCACTGCAATCTCAAGTCCCTTTGGACCACGCTGGAAGATCAGTAGCAATCGCTTCGACTTTCACCGCGGCATCGATTATTTCGATGCTGATGATACTGAGCTTTATGCCATTGCGGATGGTGTGGTTTTTGACCATAGGGATTTCGTAGATGGTGGTACAACGACAATCATTGAACATCAGCTCAGCAATCCCATGGCTGCCATGTTCCACGACCGCCAGATCAACAAAGTGTTTGCATATTATAATCATTTGCTGAGAAGGTCTACATCTGTTGGGCAAGCTGTGAAGAAGGGGCAGGTGATTGGTACCATGGGTCAAACTGGAACGACCACATTCACTCACCTTCACTTCACAACAAGACTGGTGGGCTACTGCACCCTACAATACCAGGTGGAGAACAATCGAGTACCAACGCCATCCTCAGAATGTGCGACTGGCTTTGATCCTGCTGTGCATCCCTACCTTTTCGTTGGAGCAGACCCTCGTGTGGGTTTGAAAGAACTCTTCGAAATCCATCCGAAGAATGAGACTTTTGCTTTTGCGCTACGATACAATACGACCCGGGGCCATTTGGACCTAGACGTGATTGAGACAAATCTTGGCACGGTGTCCTTCAACACAAGAGAAGGGATTTGGGGGAAGGACACCATTGAAGGCTTGGATGATTTGGAGAACATCACCAGCTGGATGGCCCTGTATCCAGGAGTATTTCGCTCGACCTCAGAGCTCATCCACTATGAAATGCACTTCTTCGCGAAGCCTGCCTTTGTGGAAGTGTTGGATATCTATGGAGAAGGCATCCGCTGGGACGAAGATGAGCTTCCTCAGTCAACGGTGTCTACATCAAGTGGAACAACGTCCCAAGCAACTACTTCAGAAGCTCCAAATCTTTCAGGAGCTTCAAGTGCAGCTGCTTCAAGTGCTTTTGCAATTCTGAAAGCCATCCAATTGTACATACTCGTCTCCTTTCTGGAATGATTTTCTGAACTTGGCCTGATGTTACAAAGCGGATGACACCAGGTCACCAGATAATGAGATTCAAGGCCAAAGTGCTTAGAATCACACGGGCCTTCGCACAAACCAGTTTGAATGCGCCGAAGAAAATTTGCGGCTTCAGGAAGGCACCTATTTTTTCCCGAATGCGTAGCAAGGGTTCCCGTTTCACTCTGGGGGTCTGGGGGTTGAGGGTGTGTTCGCTCGACGTTGCGTCCGCGTCCGCAACCGTCCGCAACCGTTCGCAACCGTCCGCAACCGTTCGCAACCGTTCGTGTGAGGACCGTATGGCCGTGCCTATGGGAAGTTCTGCAGAGGTGGTCATTTTTGGAGGTTTCAAACGTGTCGTTGCTTCGTTTTGCGTGGCAGGCGTGGCACTTCGTGACATTCAGACGTGTTTTGCAACGTGTCGAAAGTCGTTTTGCGTGGCAGGCGCAATACTTTTGCGACGTTTTCAGAAGATGTGTTGCAGTTTTCGTGGCAGGCGCAGCACTTTGGGCGTGTCCGTCGTTATTTTTCGTGGCAGGCGCAGCACTTTAGACGCGTCCTGTGGCGTGTTTTTTGTAAATCGCATTGGCAGGGCTGCGTCAAGTGGTGACAAGGTGCAGATTCCGTGGCAGGCGTGGCATTTTCTGCGATGTGCTGAAAATTGACGGAAGCCTCGCACGAAACATCGATTTTGATGTTGCCAATTTTCGGGTTCTAAGGAAAACTCGTAGGAAAACGTTGATTTTGAAGCTACAAAGTGTGAAATTTGGAGGAAGTCTCGCACGAAATGCTCGTTTTGGTGCTCCCACCTGTCTCTTCTCGCGTGTCTGGTTTTCCCGTGGCCTCGCCGTGTCTATGGGGGAAGCTGCAAAACTTGTCTTTTTATCTTGTCGGCAACTGTGAAAATTGCCGGACGTCTCGCACAAAATGCTAGTTTTTCTGTATCCACGTGTCTTGTCTCGCGGCGCTTGTGTTTCTGTGGCGTCGCCGTGTCTATGGGGGAAGCTGGAAAACATGTCCTATTCGAATGTGTCCAAGCAGGTTGTCATGTCGTTTTGCGTGGCAGGCGTGGCACTTTCTGACATTCCGACCTGTTTGATGATGTTCACAAAATGTCAAAATTGGAGGAAGTCTCGTACGAAATGCTTGTTTTTCTGCATCCACGTGTCTTGTCTCGAGTCGCTGGTTTTCCTGCGGCGTCGCCGTGTCTATGGGGGAAGCTGGAAAACATGTCCTATTCGAATGTGTCCAAGCAGGTTGTCATGTCGTTTTGCGTGGCAGGCGTGGCACTTTGTGACATTCCAACCTGTTTGAGAACGTGTCAAAAATATCGAAATTGGAGAAAGTCTCGCACGAAATGCTGGTTTTTCTGCATCCACATGTCTCGTCTCGACTCGCTGGTTTTCCTGTGGCGTCGCCCTGTCTATGGGGGAAGCTCCGCACTCCACACTCTACACTTTACACTCCACACTCCACATTTACACTCTAGACTCCACACTCTACACTTTACACTCCACACTTTACACTTTGCATTTTACACTCCTCACTCCTCACCTGAGACTTTACACTCCACACTCCACACTTTACACTACACTCTACACTTTCCACTCCTCACTCCTCACTCCACACTCTACACTTTACACTCCACACTCCACACTTTACACTACATACTCCTTTCTTTACACTCCACACTTCACACTTCACACTCCACACTCCACACTTTACACTCCACACTTTACACTCCTCACTCCACACTCCACACTTTACACTCCACACTCCACACTTTACACTCCTCACTCCACACTTTACACTCCACACTCCACACTCTCACTTTACACTCTACACTCCACACTTTACATTTTACACTCCACACTCCACACTCTACACACCACACTCTACACTTTCCACTCCACATTCCACACGCTACACTCTACACTTTACACTCCACACTCCACACTTTACACTTTACACTCCTCACTCCACACTCTACACTCCACACTCCCCACTTTACACTCCACACTCCACACTCTACAATTTCCACCCCACACTCCGCACTCCACACTCCACACTTTACTGTACACTCCACACTCGACACTTTATACTGTACACTCCTCACTCCACACTCCACACTTTACACTCCTCACTCCACACTCCACACTCCACACTTTACACTCCACACTCCACACTTTACACTCCTCACTCCACACTCCACACTTCACACTTTACACTCCACACTTCGCACTTCACACTTTCCATTCCACACTCCACACTCCACACAATAATCCACTCCACACTCCACACTTTACACTCCACACTCCACACTCTACACTTTACACTTTACACTCCACACTCTACACTCCGCACTTTACACTCCACGCTCCACACTCTACACACCACACTCTACACTTTCCACTCCACACTCCACACGCTACACTCTACACTCCACACTCTACACTTTACACTCTACACTTTACACTCTACACTTCACACTCTACAATTTACAAACTCCACACTCCTCACTCCACACTTTACACTCCTCACTTTACACTCCACACTCATCACTCCACACTTTACACTCCTCACTTTACACTCCACACTCCACACTTTGCACTTTGCACTTTACACTCCACACTCCACACTTTACACTTTACACTCCTCACTCCACACTTTACACTCCTCACTTTACACTCCATACTCCACACTCTACACTTTACACTCCGCATTCTACACTTTACACACTCTACACTCCCCACTCCACACTTTACACTCCACACTCCTTACTTCACACTCCACACTCCACGCTCTACACTTTCCACTCCACACTGCAGACTGGTAACAAGGGAAACATGTACAAGACTGTTCAAACAAACTATTGCAGAAAGGTATTGCGCGTGACTGCATAACCACGTGTTTTGACATCTGTACCATTAACATACGTGTGAGCATTCGGGTTCGTGGGCTTCATCTTGTTTCTTTCGAGTCAGGTGGGAGATGGGTTGTTTGATGTTGGCATCGTTGAGACTGCTGAGCCAAGGAAATGGTACCTCAGATATTCCGACAATGCCGGGCACTTGGCCCCACTTTGTGTCGATTGATCCAGTGCCTCCACCAGTTGCATTCAGTTGGCCGAGCATGCTGCGGCTGGCTATTGGAAAGATGGCCAGCAGTATGTGTGAAGCATAGCTTTGCGGCATCCATCAGCTCAAAAATTGGTTTAAAGGGAAAATCTGCAGGAAATCATGATCTTTATTGGGAAAAAAACCGTGATTTGCTGGAAGAAACACTTGGGTTTACTGGAAAAACACATGATTTCCTGTAAATTTTCCCACAGAAAATGACTCAGGGAACAAGTTTTTCAGATGGCGGAACTTGGCAGGTGATGGTTTGGCATCCTCATGGAGCCTTTGCCATTGCAGCACTTTGCTTCACATCACACTACTGGGCGATGAGTCTCAGATGGCTGAAATTTCCATTGGATGATGAAAATATGATGAAAATTGAAGTATTCCCATGGATTAAACATGAAATTTCAGGGATAGCAAACTTGATGGGACATCGACATTGATGACATATAATGAGATTAACCCCATCGGTTTTTGGGGAAGATACCCATAGAATACATGATAAATAGCGATGTTGATGGAACATATGATGAACTAGAATTCCCCAAACAGCGTGTCCACACTAAGGGGTTCTTACGGTAAGTGTTACAGGCCGGTTTGATTGAAGGTTCTCACTCGTGGCTGTGAGTTTTTCGTCGACAGTCTCGCACAAGGTTACCCCCAAGATTTCGATGTTCGTTTGACTGCGCAAGCTCGTGCAAACATGTGATAACCTTTTTATACCTTTTTCTCTCATCAAAGGTCTACTTTTACTGGCGCGCGGTGTCCATTTTGTAGCTATGTACGTTCTTCGCAGGACATCGAACACTTTTTCATCCGCGTGGCAAAATGTTGGCAGGCATGAGTGGAAACAACAGGTGCCACTGGAGGTCTCTTCTCGTGGCAGGTGCAGTATTTGGTGAACTTGGACGATGTTTTGAAAGCCTTGAAACGCTCGTTTTGCGAGACTGTCTTTACTTGTGATGTCGTGCTTGGTGATCATTTTGTGCGGCACGCGCAGTACTTCTGATGCCTCAGGCTCCTTTTTCGCAGCAGGTGCAGTATTTTAGAGACCTCGAGGAAAAAGTGCCTGATAGCAGGGTAAAACATGGTTTTTGCACATGTTCAATTTGTGTAATTAGATCTATCGATTTTTTTGTGGAGCGTGCATTGCCTGGCTGAAATGCTTGTCACTTTGACTTTGTGCGCGTCGGATCGCTCTCGATATGGCGTGGTGTTCATTTTGATCTCGCTCACGCATCCTTCTCGGCGCTTTGGCACAGTGCTCAAATGACTTGCCTTCACTGACAGAATCTTATCTTTTGACTCCCAAAGGGATCTTGTACCAAGATCCAGTGAGTTTCAAGGATCCTTGTCGTCTAGATCCTGTGAGATTCTACAGCCTGGCTGCAAGTCTTGCTCCGCCGTCCAAGCTTTTGAGCTCCTCCTGACTTAGTGACCACCTGGCACATGCAGTTGCAGTGGCTGTTGTGCCTTCCTTTGTGTAGTGCAATTCAATGACAACGTCGCCCGCTGGTTCAACATTTGTTTTACTTCTTTCTATAAACAGATTCTTCTAATTCCTTCTCCCACCTTGTTTGGGCCTTGCTGTTTTTTTTTCCCAGAATTTTTAGATAAAAAATATACCACACCATCAAATAGCAACAAAAAGAAAAATGATGAGACGTATCATGATGATGATCCAACCATTTTTTGAGGCTTTGCCACAATTTTCAGACAAACCCACACATATTTTCAACATGAACTGTGTGACTGTGTGGACAGTTTGGAGGACTCCATGACCTGCTTTTGGGGAACAAAAAAAGGCCGACGACTTTCCCACCGGCCGACGTGGTGCACAGTTTGTGTGTAGCTGCCTTGGCGCACAGACGGAGTGAACATCCTGGAAGCGTTTTGATGCCCAGAAAATGGATGAACTGTTACGGACAGATGTATGAAACAGCCCAAGGCGTGGCGTCGTTGTCAGTACCCCAGATCTTGTCAGACAAATGCGGCGAAAGATTGGCTTAGGAAAACTTTGAACAGCTGAGGACGAAAACAGGGCATGATATGCAAGAGAAGACCAAAACAAGGTAAAAACATGTGGTCAAACCAAAGACAATTATATATCTGCATCGCTACTTGTCTCTACATCGACTATTTAAAAGCTGTAGTTTATATCGTTTCCTACTCATTTTCATCATTTTTCATCCTAGGTACCCATTCTGTAGATCATGGCTCCAAGGCTGCTGCGAGTTCCGTTCCTGGCTGACTATCTTCTTCTTTGCCATGCCCGTTCACAAGATCGCAAGTTGCGGCCTTGATTCGTTTTTTCGAAAGAACACCTGTTTTGATGTGACAATCATTGATCATATAGCCATGTGATGCTGACATAATCACATAACCAATTACTGCTTGTAAAACTTCATAAAACGTCATAAAACGTCAATAGGTGCAATTATCGCAACTATCAATGGCCCTGATCTTTGAGGACCTTTAGCAATTTGCTGCAAGCGGGAGCGACCGTGGCCGCCTGCAGCTCAGAGTCTCCAACTCCGCCACGGCGCCACGTCATCGCTACATCGTGCCAGGTCCAACCGGGGGGTCTCCATGAGCAGGTCGAAACTGATGATAAGAAGGTGCAGCGCAGAGTCAGTCGACTTTGGGCAAAATCTGATTCGTTTTTCGATATATCTTGAGAGCACTTTAGCTGGGATGGAATCTCTCAATTGCCAGGAGAGACTTTACTTCCCTGCAAATCTGGGATTCATCAGGCAGGCGCATTTGGCGCATTCACATTTTCGCTTCCCCTTGAGTTACTCCGCTTTTCCCCAGGTTGGCCATCCAACATGGAGTGCCACTTCTTCCGGTGTATAGCTTTGGCGAGAACCAACTCTTCAGGACACAATGGCGATCCAAGTACCTGACACCCAAAATGAGGTTTCCATTTTTTCCGAGTGATTTTCAGCAAATTTTATGAAAAGTCCTGGCTTGACAGCCTCTTCTCTCTCTGGATGTAGTTTTGGTTTGTTTTTATATAATTTCCACCTTAATCAGCACTTAATTGGCCACTCTGTGTTGTGGAGGACAGCCGAATGGGTGAGAAAAATCAATCGATTCTTCTACAAGATCCTCGGGCATCAGCGGCTCAAATCACAAAACACCCTTTTTCAAAAAGCAAAAAGTCGCGAGCTCACATCCGCTTCGTTTCGCCCAGGAACTTCAAGATTGGCAATCTCATCATGTTTGGTGCCATCCCTGGTGAGGCCATCTGTTGCGATGCCGCGGCGTTTTGAAATTCGATGCTGAGGTCATGGTGGAATCCCAACTTCTCCGTTGCTTCCAACTCCACTGATGATGCCGGTGGCTGCCCGAACATTCAACTCATTCACCTCTTGGTAACACATAGTTGGAGGACCCCACAGAAGGATACAGAAGGTGTGAAAGTGAAAGGTCCTAATTAGATGAAGCTTCCAAGCCATAATTGAAAGATGCAATCAACATGTGTTCCAAGGTGCCTGGTCGCCGCTTGCACATTCAATTTGGCAGCTTGGGTGGCATTTTTGTATTCTTTGGATATGTTTTATTTGAGATAATTGTCACATTGATTTCGCATCAAGCGGAAGTGCCTGTGAGGTAAACCCGTGGATGTTGGCCCAAAAGAAGAGAATCCCAGTGAAGAGAGAGTGTTGGAGGCTAGAGATGGCTGTTTTCCACTGTTTTTTTTGGGTCAAAACTTTCCAGCTGTGTCAATTCTGGAGGTCTTTAAGCGATACTCGGCAGCTCTTCAAGAAATCTTCAAGGAGTGTGCGCCAAAATATCTACCCAAAGAGGCCCGCAAAATGCAGAGCTGCAGCGCAGACCTTTTCTGAATGTGTGTCCTCTTTTCCACATTACTGTATCATCAATAACAAAAAGATCTATTTATTATTCTAATGATAATATATGATAATTTATAATATTAATAAGAATAGTTGAATAAATACAATTATCATCAACTATCATCTTGTATCAACTCGCATCCCAGTCGAACTTGGTCTCAGGTCGTGGAGCATGGACTAGAGATCCACCTGCGATCCAAGAGCTGAGGGGCCCGACGCATCCGACGCATCCGACGCATCCGACGCCAGACTTGTTTCATTTTCACCGACCATCCTGGCTGCTGAGATGGGATCCAGATAGGAAGCCCAGATCACAGAGGAAATGCCAGAAATGCCAGAAATGCTGAAGCATTGCCAGCATGCACTGCAGGAGGCACTGGCACTCCGACTTTCCCACTCTCAATTCGCCTCTGATCAGCAAATGTAGTGATTTTATGGGGTAAACCCAATAGCAACGCAAACCATCCCTAATATCAGCATTTTCATGGCTGGTTTGTCGTCACCAGTCATGGTAGGTTTACTGCAGCCAGGCTTTCCCACATTACATGTATACACTAGTATCATGTGGTTAAAACAATGTCATAAACTACCCATGCCCATGACTGGGAATGGTAACCACACCACCTATGGTGGCTGGGTGAGAGCTCAGTGGGTATCCCCAACACGGTCGCAGGAGCTCTGCGCTTTCTGCTTCGACAGGATCGAGGTGCCTCGGTGCCCAAAATGTAGGCTTCGCAGAAATTCAGCTGGCGACGAATGGAGATTTAATATGATTTAATGAGATATATCGCCAAGTAAAACATGTATGATTATTAATATTTTCATTATCATTACTATTATCATTACTATTATTATCACTATCATTATCATTATCATTATCATCATGAATATCATTATCATCATCACCATTATTATCACAATCATTATCATCATTATCATCATTATCATCATTATCATAATTATGATCATTATCATCATTATCATCATTATCATTATCATTATTATTACCCGCAGAACCAGACGTTCAACCATGCTGAAATAATCTCCCATTTTTGCCACGGTTCTAACAGTTGTCTCATCCAAATCCACAGGGATTTCCTCCATTTTTACATCATTTTTACCATTGGTTCCATGATGTCGCATTTTTCGCACGATGTGCCCTATATTGAATCAACATCTGAGATATTTTATTATAAGTTCTTCCGTCATATTACAGATTACAGAAGGATACAGTATATATATATATATATATCTGCCACCCCCTCAACAATACGTATAAAGGTCTTATAATGGATATATTATGTTATATTTTCTTCCATCATACTACATCATTACAGAAGGATATATCATCTGCCATCCCCTCAAACAATACGTAAAACAATACGTAAAAAGGTCTTGTAATGGTTATATTCTTTCTTATCCCAAATACAAGTGGTGCAAAAGGGCCGCTTTCTGCAAGAAAACCTAGGATCCGGGAGAACCAGAAATTTACATCAAGAACCCTTCCACGACTTCGTGGGGGTCTGTTGAAAACTCGGGTCGTTTTACCCGAAAAGAACATAGGCTCCGGGCAAACGTCCGGATCTATGCGTATTACTATTATTATTATTATTATCATTATTATTATTATTATTATCAGTATTACTATAATTACAAGTGTGTCTGAAAATGGGGCATACGGTATACCATATACTCACCAAAAAGGCAATTTCAATGAAACAATTATGAGAACCACTGGATTTTGAGGTACCAATCTTCAGACAAACCCAGTTCTATCATGAAACTTAGCGGATTTGAAATGTCCGTGTAGCTTTATTCAGTAGATATGTTTTCATTGTAGGTAGCGTGCCATTGAGTAATAGCTTGATACATAGCCTTGATGCACTTACTCCACTGTCTTGTTCACAAACCCCTGGGACATCTTGGGACTCAAGTGTCGCTGTAGGTAGAGTGCTATTGAGTACTGTACCATGGGACCATGGTTTGTGCCATAGTTTAGTTTAGTATGAACTTGAGCCACCACGAACTGGTTTGAAAGAGGCCTGAGGTCTGTATGAATGTCATGAATGTATTTCTTAATTCTTAATGTATTCAAACAACTTAAAAAGGACTTTTTGCATTTGTTAATCTGTCCGAAGGCTGTGTTGATTTGGTCTTGCGGCAGACAAGTTCCAACCCAGAAACATTTCCTTGGAACTAAGTTGGATCAGAATTCCACACATTGAACTAGGAGGATCAAAAGTCAATGAAGCATTCAGAACGAAGAATAGAACCAGATGATGGTGTCCAGTGCGTTTGAATCTCACAGCTGAACGGTTTTCTGGACCTCCCAGCTGATAATCTTGACAAGTTCTCCTCGTGACAGGGTCAGCGCTATTTCGGGCAAGGTGTGGACGGGGCACGGTGACCGAATGAAGGGAAACCATTGGACAGCCATCACTGGATTGGTTGAAACCTCCGGTCACATTTGTCGCAGGTGCGAGAAACCAGCAGCTTGCGTCCTGTGCCAGTCCCTGTCAGAGTTGGGAGCCCCTGGAGCGATCAGGGATGATTTTCCCCTAATCTTTATTTATATATATATATATTATAGTGACACCCAAAAAGATAGAACAGATTCAATTTACCAATATTTAGTAGGACTTGACTTTTCTATCTTTTCGGTAATTGCTATAAGTCAATTCAATTGTACATATCAACCATATAATCTAGGATATTCAACAAGGGTTCAAACCGCTTTGGAGCATACCTACTGAGTTAGCAGAAACTTCAGGAATCACCCAGGAATTTAGCATGGTCTGGAATCGCAACCGTTGTGGAACAACGTGAGCCCCTTGCACATCCTGCCATTGCATTTGGCAAATCCTTCAAGAACGCACATCCATACATTTCATTTACCTGCTGTCTGAATTTGGAGGGTGGCAATCCCCCTTCTGTGGCCGAACACTCAGCCAGTGCTTCTTTGCTGATTCACTTGATGGTATCCTTCGTTGGGGAAGTGAAAGAGAATCTGGCCGAGACGCAGTCTCCCAAGAAGGGCGGCTACAAGAGCCCCAGCTCTTCCCCCGGTGCCTTTGGAGGCTAGAGACAACCAGTCTGGACATGGGGTATTTCAAAGGGCAACTAAAGGCTTTGGCGGATTTTTTGGGCAGTATTGGCCCTAAGAGTCAGTAGTGGCTCTGATGGACTTTCTCTGCGCAGCTTGCCCTGAAAGCTGGGCACAAGTTTGAGTGGTTTGTACTGATGTCGAGAGATGTTTCTTGGGATTTCTTGAGAGATGCTTTCAAGAGACCTTCGAGAACATCAGATTTGATGATCTTCCTAGCACCAAAGTGTCAGGTTCCCCTGGTATTCACTTAGAGACCTGGTGTCCTGCAGGGCCGAAGACAACCCTCGCAGATCTGGAGGACCCCGTGGAACAGCACGCCGTCTTTGTAGTGACACTGTGTTGTGACACGACACGTAAAAGGACCTGAGAGCCTGGCAGTTGTCTCAAATTTCCACCACTTCTCAACAGCTGCGCATCATATCCGATCCAGGAGCTCAGATTTCGCCTGCATCAGATGAAGAAAGACACTCGCTCCATCAAGGGAATGGAGGCTGGAGCAGGTTTACTTTATGACAGTCGTTGACAACGGGTCCATGCAGTTTCCAGAGATTTCCCTCGGATTGTGATCAGATCTTTCACGTGCAGGCAGCCCTCAGATGGGACATAGCAAGGGAAGAGGAGAAAGCTAAGCAGGCTGAGCAAAGAAAGGACAGGCTCAGGTGGAGTTTTCTAAGGGTTTGTCTGAGACTTCTCTGAGCATGAACCTATTCAGCTTGTACTGCCAACTGCCTGATTTCAAGATTTCATTCGAAGCTCGGTAGTCTTAAGTCGTGAAGCTATTCAAGTGCACTCAGAAGCTCCGTATCAAGAATTCAGATCAACTATGTGTTGGCCACCTCCTCTCACAGTTGATATATACACATTGTACACAGCTGTTTGATGGGTTGATTTAATGGAAGTTTTACAGGACACCATGGGCCTTCTGCCATTGGAATATGTATATATATATAGGGGTTTTCTGTAGATTTTCCCTTGAACCACTTCCGAAAAAAAATGCAGATGCTGTTGTGATTGCAGGACATGCTCGACCACATGCAGGCTAAGGCAGAACTGGAGCACGGATTGCAGCAGCCCGGGGCTCGATATTCACTGACTTTGAATCAGTTGGTGTAGCTAATCACGCCACAGATTTGATGGGGTACTTTCCCAAACATTGTGATCATTGTGACCCCAACATCTCTGTTTGATAGTCATTGTTGCCTCAAGTTCGGCATACCTCATACCACAACACCTAACTTGTTGGCCCAGGACGTTTGATGAGGCCCTACATGTCACGCTGCTCCAGGCTTCACATTTTGATGTTGAGCAGTTGATGCATCGCTAGTCATTGGTGCCTGCTTCTAGCTGCCAGCTTCAGTGGACTCCGTGGACATTGAACTCATTGGACTATTCGGTGATGCAATTCATCCAATAGCTTGGCTGAAGGAGATTAATGATCGCAAGAACTATCAGGACGCTGTGGCATGCAGTTTGGGATGATCCCCTAGGTGAAAACCTGCAGCTGTAGTTCCCTGCGCGCTTAGGAGTTCAAGCGTGGCATTCGGAAGGCTGATAAGCAGGCAGCCTTGCAGAAGATGACCCAGAACTATCTGGAGCAGAAGGACAATCCAGTTACTGCTGTCGCAGATTGTCTTGCCTTCATTTGCAACATTTTGGAGCAACTTTTGCAAAAGATCAGGACTTCTGATCTGCCAACCTTGCACAGGAGTACTCGGAATGGATGGTTCAAGACAAGAAGAACAAGATCGCTGAAGAGCAAAGGATGATCCTCGAGGCCCCGTCTCTGATCCAAGGCCTAGGCAAGTGCTCAGGTCGGTTTGACGGTGCACCATTTGTGGGCCATTTCAACTCAAGCAGAAGCGATGGATAGCGATGTCGGTTGCCCTTTGCTGGAATATGTTTATATATATAAATATGTTTATATATATATATAAGATACTCAACTGATCTCAGCAGTGACAGCCTGATGCCTCAGGCTCACCTCGAGCAAAACAACTTCATTTCAGAGTTCAAGGCAGAGGCCGGAGCTCCGGAAGTTGGTTTGCTCGAGTTCGACAGCGAACCCAGAAGACGCCAACGGCGCAGACACCAACGGCCAGGAACGCCTTCGCCAAGAGACTGAAGACCGTGAGGTGCGGGGACTTCAAAGTTTCAAAGGCTCCATTCAAAGCCATCAAACAGAATTAAACATGTGATATGTATTGATTGATATGTTATATATATAATATAATATATGTATTATAATGATACAATGATATAATATAATATAATATATTATATATATATATATGCAATGGCAATGAATAGCATTGACGCTAATTGTCACATCATGGATGCAGATCTTGGTTCTACATGATTTCACCATATTTCACCCTTCATGGGTGTCGTGGCCAGGACCGTATTGATGCAGAGCACAAGGACCTGCAACTCGCGTTCTTCAAGGCATGGCCGCCATGGCCGGCGATCCGAGTCCCGTCGCCGGGGTCGTGCCGCGTTGCGGGCACCAGGCGAATATGGAGAAGGACCAGGCGATCGATGCTCTCGAGCCCAACACTTATGAGACAAATGGCCATTTTGATAGGGAACATCATGATGATCCATTGGAATTTTGGGGGTACACTATAGTTTCATTCAGCTTGGGCTGTTTGAGGTATGCTCGTGCCTGCCAAAGGGTGCCAGTGCCGGCTGACGTGTATCGCTGGCTAGATTTCTTGCAGCTGACCACACGTTCTGATGATCAACTGAATTCAGTATGTTGGGCACAGAACATTCCATTCACTCTGTACGAATCATCCGATCGTCCATTCATTTCTTCTTAAATGGCTGCGTCTGAGAATAGGTTACTTGTAGTTCCAATGGATTATCATCATGTTTCCCATTCAGCATGGCCACTTTGTGGGTGAATCACCCATATTCAGGTACCATACCCAGCTTTCCCTTTGGCAGGCACGTGCCTAATTGGCACGCCTCCAAGACGTGACGAAAAGCGATGTTTCTACAATGCTAAGCCTTACGTGGCAGGAGGAGAGTTCGATGATCTTCGCTGTTAGCTAACAACTTTTTTCTTGGATCTGTTTGAAACATAGGGAATTTACATGGATTTGCCGTAGATATACCGGGTTCTTCAAAAAAAACATCCATCCTCCTACATGTGGTCACATCACACCTGATCCCCCCGTGCCCCCTTGATCAATGTTGTTGACCAATGCATGCCGGCATCAGAACCGAAATGGCTGTGTTTTTTCAAGACCCTTCCAAGCAAAGGAATGTAACAACATTGAATTGGGGGGATAGGGACAGGTAAGTTTCTTGGCAAAGAATGTGACACAGGATCACGGGTGAGGTTTTCCCCAAAAATTTCAGACAAATCCATCTCTTAGTCATTCTGCAAGGAATTTGTGAAGAGACTTTTGGTTTGGAGATGGTGAAGCTTCTGATAATAGAGGGTGGAATTGTGTGTAGACATGGAATCGTGTGTAGGGATGCATTTCATCAGTGTTGCGTGGAAATCTTGCCTCGACACTACTGCTTGTGTTTTATTCAGCTGCAAGGTGAACAAGACAAGATGGAAAGACACTAATGCATGCTGAGTGCAAACAAAGATACACCATGAAGAGTCTTGCTTCCTTTTCATGCTCGCAAAAGAACGGAGTCCTTAAATGGGTTTCAAGCTGCAATCATATGCCCAAATATGCCCCAATCAGACAGCAGTTGAATTTTGGAAGTCACAGATGATTGGATCAGCAGACATCAGCAGATCATCGGCCCAGCTCCGTTCGCAAGCGGATGCGGAATGAGCTCGCTGCTTTGTCCGAATTGCAAGTGCGTGCAGCGGCTATCCTTTTGGGAGCTACATGCAAGGCTTGGTCAGTGCGGTAGCCCAAACACAGAGCTGAGGCCACCATGGGCCACTGAAAATCACCCTGAAATGGTTGATTTGATAGAATTGTGCAGATATAATTTGGCCAATACAAGACACTTGGGTTTTGAAAGGTGTGCATCCTTATGCTTGGCTTAATGATAAGATGGTAGATTACTTTAAAATAGTTTGGGGTCGAAGATGCTGGTGGCCACCCATGACATCAGGGTGTTCAAAAATTATTGGGAAAGGACCAAATTGGATGGTTTATCATCATTTTCCCCATGGGGAGCCCATGGATTGCCCAAGCCTCGGCAAGCTGAACCTTGAAGCCCAGGTGCTATGAGGTGGAAACGGGAGAGAAGCACTTGACCAGATCTGCCAGTGAGGCAACCACATCCAAATGGGTGTATCTAGAAATAGGGTATATCGGCATACCCCCAATTAGAACCATTTCTATATATTTCTATCCAGTTTTTATAGGGAAAATGAGGAGGATGAACCGTTGGGTTTAGGGGTACAGACTTTTTCAGACTTTTTCAGACAAACCCAAATAGTATGCATGATGCCATTTTAACGCTGGTCGCAGTACTGGAAGATTGTGAAACATGATGACCCACCATTGGATTTGGGGAGTTGAGCAGTTTAAGAAGAACCAGATGATCGATGATGAAACGGGGTTTATACTGCCCTTTATAAATTGGGGATCGTCATAATCCATTTATGGAAAACCAAGAGCCAGCTCTGAAGGTGAAGATGTAGTCGAATTAACTTTGAGCAGTAAAGGTAAGTTTGTGCCTGCACATATTATGTAAGCAGAATATTCACCATATGACTACAGCTGTTGAATGGCGGCTATTGTATGTACATGTATGTACTATTTATTTATATTTCTTTATTTTCTACCTTGTTGTGAGTCACAAGCAGCGTACGACTTCATGCGACTTTGTGGGCGTTCGCAAGGCAAGGCATGCAGAGGAAATCGGAGCCTCACATTCGCCAGGTGGGACAATTCAAGACTGATACCCGAGTGCAACGAGTGCAACGAGTGCAACCCGAAACAGCCTATGGTATCATAGTTTTGACCCGAGAACTTGAACTAGATGAATCACAATCAAAGGCCACGCTGGTGGTGTGACTTTCTGCCTCGGCAGGCTACCAGCTGAGCAGAAAAAGTATTCGACTCCCTTCCAATCTGCAGCAGCCCCTTGGTTCAGCCCGCTTGCCTGCAACGTTTGATTCATTTGATGATGTTTTGCCAAGAAGATGACCAGGGAAGACGAACTTGCGTGCTGCAGCCTGCAGCTTTCGGATCATAATGTGAAATTATGCTTATGATGACAGTGACGAGCATGACCAACATGTAGAAAAATGATGAACCGATGGGGCCCGGCGGTCAGCTCCACTGCCATGTTTCCAGGCACATCAAGCCCCCATCAGAGGAGGGCCTGGCCGACCTGGACCATGCACCAGCAAACAGTCACGGTCAAGGCATCAGCGGCTACAGTTGAGATCTTTAAAGGCCCAAACAGGAAGGTATTCCAAACATGAGTTGAGATCTAGGTTCCTGTGTGCAACTTGGGGGATTGATGAGCTCGTTTTGCCCGGGGGATACAATCAGAGATAGCTTTTTTGACTGAACGGGCCGGGATTAAGGGACCTTCAGATGTCAACCTGCTCGAGATCAAGATTCGATACCCCCAATATCAGCCTGGTCTCTACTGTTCAATGGCTATTTAGGGGTCCCCCCATTTTCAGACAGACCCAAATTCTCCTGCAGGCTCACATCCCTTGAGCAGCGATCGCCGGCCAGTGGGAGTGGTGCCCAGTGCAGTGCCCAGCCCAATGTCGCTTGGAGAAATGGCCAGTTCGGGACATCGGCTGATAGTCAAAGGTTTCCACACGACGCATCTGCACGTATACTGCGGGCAGATCCGGACTGAAGTTGACTGGACCTGTTTCTTTTGACTTGGTTGATGGGAAACATATTTAGAGGAATCCCTTAGAATTATTTGGAGGTCAACGCCACAGTTTTTGAGTCTGTTCAGACTGTTCAGCACTGAGCCAGGACGGAGGATATGCCTGTGGCAATTCTCGCTGGACGCCGGTCGTCGCATGGTGAGAAATTTCCTGGTGAGAAATTTCCGGATCGCACACATAGCGCCTTGGCCGCGCTTTGCTGCGCCACTCAACGACGCTGCAGGGAGCTCTGAGATCGGTGACAAGTTTTTGCTCATGCTTGTCTCCAATGGTGTCACTTTTTTACCGACTGATGTTGAGCAAACCAGTCACAGATCACCATCAGTGACTATCCAGTAGGCCATTGGGGCAAGTTTTGCCAAGTGCAGGCAATGGTGGCCAGGAACATCGAGGGCGGAGGAGGAGTGCGGTTGATCGCGCAAACAGAGACAGTGAAACTTTGAACAGTTTCACAGAAAAGGGTGGCTTCGCACAGGCGGGGCTTGGG